ATATGAGAATTCGGTAATCTGTTGCTAGCATAGGAATGTAGTTTTGGTATCTGTTTAGGGTAGTTATCAGACCATAGCAAGTTGTGTGCAGACATCAACGCATGCACACTAAATACATAGGACGTACGAATGGGTTCTGTGGGCTTATTTGTCTTACTAAATGTAGTCTGTAGCCGATGTTTTGGGGATTTTCTATAGCTTTCACTTGATAGAACATTCAAAGGGGGCTGCCTAACAATGGGTTTGTGCAGTGGATAGGCAGAAAAATAATGATTACCTCACTGTGTTGCTCGTCAAGAAGTATAGGTCGGATATAATTGGATATCACTTAAGACCAATTAGGCCTACCTCCAGGAGCTTGTTCTATCATGTCATCTCTTAGAAAGACGGCACAGATTTGCTTGCGTCTCCATCATATAAAATGGATTTCGTGCTCTGGGTTCGCAGTTAAATTCACTTAATTCCGTTCGTTTTTTCTTACGTTTATCTGGCTGATGTTGGCTAAAAGGGCAGCCAGCATATGCTATATAACGTTCCTGTTGTTTGGACAACTCATGCGCTCTAGTTTTCTTAGTGGAATTAGGACGTTTGTCATAACGCCTAGAGAACTTGCTCACTTGGGTTGCTGCATTGGACTGGTACTTCAAAGTGGATGGATTGTCATAATGAGGGGTAACTAACTTATAAGAAGATGGGTGGAGTACCAGTGGGATAGGTTTTGATGTTTTCTGGCTCTTGACCTTTGTGTCAGTCTGTAAACGATGTACTTCAACACTATATTCTGTTCATTCATCTATTTCCACCATTTTACTGTCGGCATCAGCGTCTTTTTATGATACTTGGCTAATACTTGTCAGTGCCTGTAAAAATGTCTGACGCATGCGGTCATGCGGAATGACGCATGGAACATCATCTACATATTGAGGTAAATACACCCTTGTAAAAGGTGTATTTACCTCAATATCGGTTGGTTATCGTATGCCTACAACCACGGGATGAAAACGGAACGAAGTCGATTTTCCCGCTCAACCTGGAGGACAACTGTACAATTCAATAACTATACGGCCTAATTCAGAAAATGAGTGTATTATATGTATCGAATATTTAACAGTTGAAATACGATTAACTTGTAGACAATCTACGATTTGATATTATATCATACTTGATCGTGCCTGTAAAAATGGCATGCATTTTCATGTAAATTTGTAAATTTATATGAAATACATTATTATTATTATAGTTGTTCTATTAGAGTTATCAGTATTCAGTGTTCCTGAGCGGCATCGTCTTTGGCACGGTGTTAAATCAGGTGCAACCTTAATGCTAGTGTAGGGTGTTGAAGAGCCTATTATCTTACCAGCTTTCAGAAAATTCCTGGATTCTTCGACAGACCTGAACTTGAAAAGCGCCGGACGTGAGTGGTTTGCAGATTTCTTACGAAGACGCAAAACCTGACATTCTGTCAACGACATATTACAAGCCTTCAGACACGAAGCTTTAAGTTTGGCAATAGGCTCTCTGTCTGGAATGTTATAGGCCAAGACGTTATGTGAAGACATAATCCTCTTAACAGCTTCTTCAGCCAAATAGTCAATTATGCGCTCGGATTTCATAAGTGATTCAAGACAGATGTTTTGTGATGGGTCACACAATTGCGCGAGGGGCATAATGCTGTCAAACTTGCTCTGTAGGTCTGCCATTGACTTCTGAAGTATCAGTAAATCATTTTTGCTACAAGCCGCATTCTCTGTCAGTCCACCCATGATATCAGATACCATAAGTCTGGGTGTGTCTGGTGTCAAAAGTGTAGAATCGTCAAAGGAACTAAGGCCTTCAGATGGTTGGAGGGTATTAGATCTCAGTCTCTTAACGGTATTTACACTTTCGACAGACTTGAAAATTGTAGAAGCAAGAATTTTCACAATTTCCGCAGAAAATTCTTGAGGACATAGAAAAGGTTGTTAAATTATTGAGGTATCAAAAACGAATATAAGCAGCTATATATTGGAAAATAAAAAGTCAGACTTTCCTTGAACAGTACCATCTGAGGATAAAATCATTAGTCCAACATGGTTAGAAGGGATATCAGACAAATTCGGGGTTGTAGATTGTACAATTGAAAACCATATATGGTAATAGGTGACACAATACAGTCCTTGTTGTGTATTGATATCTGGATAATGTGGAGAACGAGGCAAATTTCCCAAAAAAATATGGAAAGATGATTCATGTTGAAACAGAACACCTGTAGCGCAACAGTTCGAATGGGATTGCTGAAGCCTTAGTCATTCATTTGGAAAGGAGTTATGTATACAAAAGTAGATCATCTTATTATCATGGTAACAACCGTGTTGAGTTTTACTGACTTGATGTTTTTGTGCCTGCTTTTCAAACTCCCCATAACTTGCATTTCTTTGCAGTCCTTAGATTACTGCATATTCTCTTTCGTTTCTGCGTGCATCCTAATCAAAACTCCTTCATGAAATTATTCATTCTGCCACATAACTGTAATACATTTATTCATCTTCCATTATGCATTGAATAACATTAACAACTATTTTTTACAACTCATCAACACTACCCCCTTACTAATTTTTGCCCCCCAGTAACATTATTTGAAATACTTTGATGATATAAACAGCAATCCTCACCAACTTTTTTCTGACAAACTCCACTTGCACTCAAAAACAAAAATATACATAACAACAGTTGTACAGCTGAGAGAATGAATCAGACAGAAAGAGAATCTTTGCTGAACTATGTGTTTTTTATTGAAATCCGGATGGAGATTGCTTATAAATTAAAAAGATTCGGAGACCAATTTCAAAATTATACTTTCTTGGTGAGCGCAAGAAGATGGGCAGGTACTGGCTGAAGGTGGTTACTTCCAGCCAGAAAGGCAGAGTGTATTCCTCTGTACGCAATACTAAGAGGCATGGTAACTAAGACAATTTTTCTAAAATAGTTACTTCAAACCCACTTACTGAGGATTATGGGGGATAAACCTAACAGATTCGAGGAGGGATATTTGTTACATGTGTAATAGAATATTATCATGCAAAGATTGTGTAAGTGTCTTAGGTGAAGGAGTTGATGGGAACTTAATCAGGTTCAGCTACTGGGTGATAATGTAGTGGATCGAAGTAGTTCATCTGTTTATTTGAACCTCATACATTCGCTTTTACTGGGCAATTGGCTTATCTGCGCCGAGCGGAGCAGATTGTGAACATTTGGGTTCCCAAGTCAAAAGGGTGTGTCTGGGAGTTGTGGTGTGATTGTATATCTCTGTGCTCTCTTCATAAAGCAGTTAAGAAATAAGGGCGATATTCTCCCTTCTTTCGTAGCAGCGGTGTTAACAGTAGCTACCAAATCAGGCCAAGATATTATAAAGAGATTAATAAAGCCTCCAAAACTATCAGCCAATCACGATCAGACCTTTGAACGCACTTACAAACACCAACTTCATTTATAGTCTCAACTTCCACACAATAACACCGAAGAATTCTTCATGAGCAGGAAAAATAGAGAGAGTCAGTATCAACTCAAAACCGTTTTCCTGAATAACGATACGTAGTGGAGTGAGGCAAGGAGAAGTATTGGGTCTCCTCTAGTTTACCATGAATATTGATGAACTACTATGGCTCGCCTAGTTTCCTATAGGTCTCTCCTAATGTGACACAAAGTTTTGCAGAGGGCATCAGGATGATAGAGATATGCTTACGGTGTCAGGAAATAATGGAGAATATTTGTAGCTCTGGTGTGGAGAGATCTCGATAGTGTATTAGAGTGGTCCATCTCAGTGAAGTGTGCGTCGGTGCGCGTTAAGCACATAGGTTTCAGCGCATAGTACAATAAGGGAAACAGTCCCCCCTAATGTAAGTAGTAGCTTAAAACCTATGGCATTCCGTCACGAAATGGCAGCTTAAAGCCTTATAACTTCTTGGCCAATTCACAGGTCCCTTTTTACTAGGATCACTTATGGAGTGTTCATCACCTTATATGCATTTCCGTTGAGGTCGAAACTAGAAAAGAGAATCCAGGCAACCAGATCTTATCTCGACGGAGACTTATCTTCTGCAAGGGGTTCGAAGGAAGGCCATACGTAGAACTCCCCGTAAAATCAATCCATCATACGAGGACGACTTGAAAGCCAAAACCTCTAATTCTTATCCTATCACGGGCAGAGATATCTAATCAGTTACTTGAAAATCTTAAGAATTGCCAATGAACCTGATCCATCATCTCTTTCCATTCTATCGAGTTGGGATATCTCAGAGGAGTTAGTCAGGGAGTTTAATAATTATGTAGGAAGTGTATAACTGTGGAATACTTTTTCTCCCACTGAGTCATGAAATTTCGGGACCGACTACCGGAGGAAACAGTATCCGCATCCTCACCGGAGTCGTTAAAGGAGGTATTAGATAAGTACAGATGTTTATTATTATTGGTTCACATAGGCTTGTAACCCTATATCCTCAGCCAAAATCGAGAATACTTTAGGGGCTGCGGGTATTCGACGTTCGCGAGTTGTACGGATTATACTAACGCAAGATCTTATACCAACAACCACTATAGTGTTCGTTCTTCGAGTACCAAATGGTAAAGCAAAAGACCAGATTTTGTCGTCCAAATACGATATATATTTTGGGACCAAATCGCGAGTAGGAATGAATGCTTAGCTAGCTAGTAATCGTCCACGCACGTGACACGACGGAGCACCAAATGGCGGGGATGCTTGACCGTAAGCCTTCAGCTAAACAAGTCGACTTAAACAGTGATGGTCAGCATCCAATGTTGAGTGATGATTGCTGTGGTTAATAATTTTGGGGAATTATTTACCGCTACAATACTAATTCACTTCCTTATTGTAGTGTTTTTCACAATTTCACAGTTATCCAAGAGTGTTTGAGAACTGATAAATTTATCCTGAGCTAACTATTAACAAGCATATTAAGCTTAAGGTCCGTTCTGAAACTGTATATTGAAAAGTGGAGCGAGCACAAAGAAATCAATTTGGTTTATACTAGCTCGTAAAAACGATATTGGATATTGGAAAGTTCTGGGCAGCGCAATATTTATTTGATGTGCTACTAGGACATCTTGTGGCCACTAAATTTTAATGTCAAACTACACGAAAAACAAAAAACCAGATCGGGACTTTTATCGCCATCCTCGGTACAACACAGCTGACGGAGATTACGAAAACTATAACAATCCAGGGAAGTATAGAAACACTGCTGTTCCATCCACACAAACATCTAACTACACTAAAGATAAAAATGCTTCTTTAAATCCTGATCATTCCAGTAGGAGACCTGCAGACAGTGGAAGAAAGTATTACGGCTCTGAACATCAACGGGAAAACAGAAATCGATCCAAGAGCGAAAGATTTGCAACAGAAACTAAAGAGAGTCGTATAAATGCTTATCCAAGTTCTGCAACAAAACCGTCAGCTCATCGTGATGAAAGTAAAATTGCTTCAAACGGTGGACATTTTCATGCACAGTCAAAGCGAGAGCACATCCCAACCGCGGATGTACCAAATGTAGGACCCATTAACAGCAATGTAATGGAGCCAACCAAGTCATCCAATACAGCGGAAAAGCACGGCGGACTTATTCATTTGCCAAAGAATGTAGACATTTTTCAACAAAATCCTGAGTCTCACAACACCCAGAATTCACGAGGTGTTCGGCGTGATCCTGCTCGATGTAAGTTACTTCTATTTGACCTGTATGTGGCGATGGTCATTGGTTAGGAACTCTTCTGATTCATGCCTGTCACTCTTAATGTTCGCAAGATCCATTGCTATCAGCCTTGAATCTTTGTAATGCAACTTCCATAATTCTCACCACAAAGTCCATCTCATTTGCTTAGTTGTTAACTGGCCCTTTTCATTTCATTCGTCCTGGAGTATATGGTTATGAGTCTAGTTACTTGTGTGTACATTCAGGTTTCTACAAACGTATATCAGGAGGACCAATACTAGGAGACTATAAATTCAAGGTGTATTGTATGGAGGTTTTCCTTTACGAGCCGTGTTAGTTGAGTCTGAATTTACTTAGCTGTGTAACTCAAATCACCCATAATGGTGCATATATATTCTGTATTCTAAAAATTCTTTCTACATCTTGGATTATGCTTTTATGATGCACCGTTTTAATTACATTTCTAAAGTTTTTATGCATGCTTTTATCGTGTCAACTTGAACTGATGCAATCTTTTGAAAAATCGATGTTGATAAATAAGATCACAAACTGATATCAGTTGGAAAACTGTTGGAAACCAGGAATTACTGGACTAGTTTTAGGCCTAGTTTGAGACTCCAGCAGTAAGCACTCATAACCCCACCGTAGATCGAACTCAGCACTTTGGAAGTCGATTGATAATGAACTTTCTGACTATACACAGTTCACTTGCGGTGATGGGTGCAAGTATAAGCTCCTGTTAGTTTTTCAACAGAACTTTTTCTGACAGATCAAATGGGTAAACTGTATGTGGTGTTCACAAACTCAGGGTCAAAATATTTTTTTGGGACAGCAGATTTATATCATCACGAACATCCTTAATTTCCATCTCTACAATATAGTCGATATTTTTAGTGAGAGAAACGTAGTAAAGTGGAGTAGCCTTCTCTAACCTTACAGCTGACTGAGAGCAGAGCTTCTAGCTGGTCATCTGCTCCTACTCTACTTAAGGTGTTTTTGTATGTTTTCAGAATGTTGACGAAATTTCCAATGAAACTTCTCTCTAACAGAAAGTTTCAAAGTGCAGCTTTATCCAAGTAATAGAGGACTGGTGATCTGCTATACGCGTGTTAGTGTTCTAACAGTCGAGTCACTTTCCATCTACTATAGTTTGGGTAACTACAGAGTATCATCAACCTTCATAGTATATGAAAAATTCACTCCGGATACGTTCTAGCTGACTGAAGTGAGTTCATACATGGCAAATGCGTCTGCTGTCTAAGTGGAAACCAGCATGCTGTTCGCAAACTAATTTTCACATGTTTCGCAAAGTCAGCGAAGTATAACAGTAATGAGTGATACTTGTGATACAAGTGGTGAAAGACCAATTGGCTGATTGTCGCGTAAACTACCTGGGATGTTTCAAAAAATAAATACAGCTCTGACTGCCTTTCGAACTGATGAACTTTTCAATCTTTCATACTTTCTCTAACAATTCAGTTCATTCCATGACTTCAATTCCGCTTCTATCTTTAGAAAACCTCAGGGTGCTTTATTGAACTTCATCGCCTGAATTTCATTTTGGATCGGTTTTTTTTTTGTTTTCCTTCACATTCCGCAGTGGAACATAGGGCTTCAAGCTAGTGTCTTGAAGTTTCTGTAGCAATGTTTTACAGGATGGGGTTGCTAGCCCCATGCCCAACCTTTCCTCTTCACCGGCATTATTTCTGGGTTAGCAAGGTAAAGGAGTGCATCGGCCGGGGATCGAACCCCGGACCATGTGCATGGTCGGCAAGCGTCCTAACCGCTATGTGCTATAAATCACTACATGTTAGAACAGAAAACGCTAGCTCTGCAAACCAGTTGGACTGCTCTACTCGGCGTTTCAGATATCTCAGGGTGTTAGTTGACATACCACTTGTCTCACAGGCCGTCTTACTATCGCCATACTTCTTGCAACCAGTGGCTCAAATGAGCTGAAATGACTTATGATTATTGTCTAGTGTAACTGTTGTCTGTCATACATTGTGACCATTCTCCCTCATGGTCCTTCCAGAAGCGTTGTTTCCGAAATATGGCAACTTGAACTGGTGCAATTCAGTGTAACATTCTACGTTGATGATTCACTTACAGCCTACTGAAAACAATTTTTTAACGATTAAAAATGATGCAGATAATCTAAGATCTCAAACAGTGACGAGCAGGTGAGGATGGTGATAGAGAGACGAATGTTAAGATGAAGGAAACAAAACAAAACAACTCAGATGTTTAAGTAGCAATAATGATATACTGATAATAAATAAATTAGAGACAGCATTCATTGGCTTGAGCACTTGACTTTCAATTATTGGGTCCCGGGTTCGAGTCTTGCTCCATCTACTTCAGCCGGATGAGCTAAGTAATAATCAAGAGCCCTTATACAACAAATGTGGCGTATGACCCATTACTGGGTAAATGACTTCGAACCAACCAACCAATAGTAAAAGAAGGGTGTATCATATGTTGCAACAAGTTATGATGTAGAATTGGATTTAAATTTTCACTGAATTGTTTCATATTTTTGATGGGAACTTTGATTTAGGCGAGACACCTACAGAAAGCAAATGTTTGTTGTAAGGTTGTGTGTATCTCAGCTATTATTTATTTCTGTTGAAGCTCTCTGTTATCTCCGAAGGCAAGTGAGTAGAACAGTTTAAACCGATGACAACTCCACACTAGAATCCGTAAAACTGATAAATAATGCAAGTATATTTGCACTATTGTAATTAACCTAGGATTGCACCATACACTTTCTAATGTCTGTGGCTAAGTAGTTGGATATCTCTACCACTCAGTATTATTAAATAAGCTTGGTAAATTATGGGCACCAAATGACGCTCCATACAAAATCTCATGGCTTGTGTCGAGGGCTAGGATGTTGCCCAAATGTCCTGACTGAAGCAGGAGGTTGTCCTAAGGGCCTTTGACTTAAAGTTTGATGCATAAGGCAGTGGGGCAGCGTCAGGAGTCGCATTCTCATGGTTCCCACTGACCAAAATAAGTTCATACGCCATTCAGTTCTTTCGAGTTCTGGAGCCTATATATGCCATAGATTTCGAATCAGGGTTTTCCAGCACCTCTGGATAGAAATGCGTGTCCACCAGTCCGGTTTTAAGCTCCAGACGTTCGTATTTGCCCTTTCAGTTGTGTCAGGAACACTGTGCCGTGTGGAGGCAGTGAATACGACTTGTCTGGATTAGGGTTCTATGGGTCATAAAGTGCTAAACCAATCTGTCGTGCACGTGCTAAACATCAGTGAGGTATTTAGGTGTACACATGAATCAACTAATGTACTGTGCAACTTAGAAATGATTTTTAAAGGGTGTAAAAGGTTTACAGACTTTTGATGATAACCGTCTTGCTGCTACCACTCATATTTATTGTAACTATAGAGTGTCTAATGGGAAAAAAATTAAGTGATGAAGTTCGCAGTCTTCATTGTCTAAGATAATTGAGACATGTTTCTTACGCTGTTGAAATGGCAACGTTAGGCTAATATTAGGACAGAAAGAAGCTAGGTGACCGATTTAAGGCAGGACATCATTCTATCATATTTTGTTCTGACTGTGTAGGAAAAATGCACTCAACGTTAATTGTAACCGTAGGTGAAAGACTGTAGAACTGAAATCATTGACGCAAATGCCCTTTATATCTCAGGATATTAATTAGGATATGGCTTCTTTCACTTGTCTTACATCGTTTCATAACTTCCAGTTTCATTGCTGTTTTTCTATGTATAGTCTACTTTGATGTCTAGATTATATGTTTTACCCTTTATACCCTTCCTGTGTATACACTAGTTTATTATTATTTCTGTTATTATTCTCTTGGGTACGGAGTGGAACATAGGGCTTTAGCAGTACATCTCTAATTTAAAACGGTTCTCCGTTCTCCTTTTCATCTGGTTGCACAATTGCCCATAACCTGTAATTTCCTCTTCCATGTCATCTTCGGATGCCCAACTTGTAGTTCACTATTCAGGTTCGACCTGAGGGCCTGGCACGCGAATTCACTCAACGGTCTTTTCGGTGTATGTCTAATCCATCTCCACTCCCTCTGCTTATCTGCTAATTGATAGGTCTTAAGTTATTTGTCTGACTGACTGACTAGTTTCAACGTAGAACTTTGCACCGATGTGCAACAGTTCGAGTCGCCACACTTCACTTAGCACACAAGGCAAGAGAAGAAAGCAAAACAGAAATGCAAAACGGAGACAGTAAACAGAGATATGAGGTAGAAAGAATAGTAGTAGGTTATTTGATATGTGTGCAACCTAATGTAGCAGTGTAGTTTATATCAATATTGGTTAAGATTGTGTTAGTATATGTGTTACGAAGACGCATTTGTTAACATTAGCCTTTTAGTTCTCATTACGTCGCTAGATGAGTAAAAAAAATCGAAGATACTATGAGAAGTGGCTTAAAATCAATATCACTGAGACGCGTGTACTTTTGTGGTTTGTGTTTATTTCAAGATACAGCAACAGCAACAACAACAACTTTTTCTCCAGGCCATCTATTCTTTCACAGTCACTCTCTCTTATCTGTGTTGTTTCTTTTGTCTTGAAGAAAATTTCATATCGCATCTATACTTCTCAACTTAATTTTATTTTTTGATTATGTTTAGAAGCGTATGCATTATTATTATTATTTTATTTCGCCAAATTCAGTTTTTTATTTTGTGTATTTTATAACAAAAAATATATCTAAAGTTTTAACATAGAATGATTGAATTGCAACGTTCAGTTTCGAGTAGTTAAGTTAGAGTCTATCACTAGTGTTTACCAACCCTGAAGCAAAGCTGATGTCTGGATAATGTTAGTAGATATAATACAGTAGTGTGAGATGCACTGTCTAGTGTAGTGATTTCTAGAGCGTTATTATCTGGCTTATGCCACTACACAGTAGTAGAAATTTATTGATTACTATTCGTTTGCTCGACCAAGAGCCTATTGATCAATATATATACATAAGATGAGGCAATAACTCATCGAAGCAGACATTGCGAAATGGTCGCGCTATGTCAAGAATTGGCAGAAGTCAGAATTCATGGGCCATTGGATCAGGTCCCAGTGGCTCAATGGTCTACGAGCTCCCCTTGTAACCAGGTCCTGGGTTCAAACCCCGGTGGGTACGTCCTGATGAGGAGTCACAAACTAGGACGAGACAGCTGCCCAGTACTTCCAGGCTTTCCAGGAGTTCTCTAACTGATGTCAGTTCATGATGGAACCTTCCATCCAATCAAACAAAATCCCTACAAAACCAATACTTGAATATATATATATATATATATATATATATATATATATATATATGAATGACATCGTGCTCCAGGCCACCACTCTAGTGAAAGCCGCATGGAAAATAATGAGTGGGGCGTTCAAGGGTGGCATGAAAGAGTGGAGCCAAAGAGGAGTGCAGAAAATAGGACAAAGTGGATATGTGCTGTTGAAGCCCCGTTCTTCACTAGGAACCGAAGGTAACAATAGTAATAATAATAATTGGTTTGCTACTTGGTTCTGTAGAAATGTGGCTTATCTCGGCTTAGGCACTGAATTTTCAGCCAGTGGGTCCCAACTTCGAATACCACCCCAAGTATGTCTACCTAAGCGAATAGGTGGTTTCATCAGCCCTCACACAACAGTTATGTATTTATGCATTTGTTGAGACGAAGTTAGTGCATTATGGGCGCCAAGAGATGTAACCACACAAAACCTCATAGTTTGTGCGAGAGTTCAGTTACTGCCCAAACTGAAGCAGGTGGTTGATTTACGTTAAGGGACCACGCTTTGAGTCTTTGACTTGATGTTTGATCCACGCGCTCCCTCTATGATCGCGGTTCAGATTCTTTATCCTATGTACACCGTAGGTGTAGAATGAGCGTTCTCCAGCTCCCCTAGGTTGACCAGCACGTCCACCAATCTGATTGTAAGGACCAGAAATTCTCATTTGCTCTTTCACTTTTGTGAGACACCCCCTAGCCACGTGAACACACTAAATAGAACTTACCTTGCAGTTAGCTGTGAACGCATAGCCTCATAAGAGCACCTCGAGAGGAAGGCAGAATTCTGCCTACCTTCCGCCACACCAGGTCGTTTATGGTAACATTTCATTCGTTTACTCATTTTGCTACTCATTATCTGGTTGTTTCAAGGATTCTTTTGATGAACCTTTCAGAAATGTGGCAGTATTTGTCATGGTATTGTTGTGCGTCAAATTTCTACTCGGTTTATTTCTCCTCAGGTTAATTAACGTCCATTATTCTCACAAGACTTAGAAAAAAAGTAACTTAGAAAAACAATAGGGTTTTATTGGATATGACAAATCACCGAGAGTGAATGCATCTACTCTATTGAGAAAAATTTTGAGCTATATCACCAATTATCTCCAGCCACTGATTCTTACCATCCAGAGGAACCCAACCAGGAAGTCTACATCTCCCGACATGGCTTAAACTAACTGTTAAATATTTCATTGAGTGATTCCATCTTTTGATTTGACCTACCACTACTAGCTCTTTTCCAACGTTATCCTAACGTCGTCCGTCGAGGAAGGCGATGGTTAGGCATGCGTAACACGTGTCTAAGCCATCTCAATCTGTGCAGCTTCATAACCACATCGGTAGATTTTCCCTCCCCACGTAACACTTGACATCTAGCGTCAATATTACGCATCCTGTTATACCACCTAACATGAGAGATAGAAAGCAGACACCTATGATCAAAGACAGCTAGTCAGCCTTTTCATGTCTTCCACTTTCAATGGTCATGTCTCACAACTAACCATAAAGGATGACGAAGCGAACTGCTTTGCAGTACACACGTCTTTTAATCGATAGTCAGATATCGTGTCTACACCACAGTTGATGCAAGTTGACAAGTACTGCACGAGCCTTTTGTATCTGCGGTTAGCATTAGTTGCATTTGAATCTGTAAGTTAAGTACTTTTCCTTCACCCCTTTTATTAAATGGTTCTCCTTTCATTCTTGTTTCCTTTCAGCTGATTCATCTAAGCCAGTTGTCGTTGTTCGTCCAAGTTTCTCCAATTCACATCATTATGCCAAACCTAACAATACTCGGTATGATGTATCCAGTAGTTCAGAACTGGCATATGGCACTACAGCTCAATACAAATTGAAGTCTGATACTGATAATAATGCATATAATTATGCTGGAGTTAACTCATTTACCCAACAACCACAACAACCATTAACATCGTCATCCTCAGCATATAGTAGTGATCTTCCTGTCCCATGGACAGAGGCTGCTAAAGCAGCTTTTCATCAATTTTTTAAAACTCAAACAGAAATCAACTCATCATCTACGTCTTTTCATGGTGAAAAACCATTTTCAACATATCCCACGGTTAATCAACCTACTGGTGGTAGTGGTATATCTTCAGGACCTGGAATGGTTCCACCTCCAAAGTGAGTTTTTCATTTTGTTTTCAATGTGTAGTGACTCACTGTGTCAACAGCTTCGTGGCTTTCTGACTGACTTATTATTGTTATTTTATTCCTTTACGCTCCTAGTGGAGCATAGGGCTTCAAGCTAGAGCTTTGAAGTTTCGATAGCAGCGTTTTTATTTTTACGGGGTGGGGTTGCTAACCTCACGTTCAGCCTTCCCTCTTTACCAGCCTTACTATCGGCTTAGCAAGGTTTATGAGTACGTCAGCCTCCGTTAAAGCACCACCCTTCTTGTGGTGTCCGGGATGCTCTTGTCCATCCTTGAAAATCTGATCCAAACAGGCTGTACTCATATCCGCAGCAGAATCTCCTAGGTAAACAGCTTCTGCCAATTGGGAAGTGTAGGTAAGGGAAGTCGGCAAATTGGATTCGTGATTTCGCGAGAAGGATTGACTCTAGAGGGCGACATCAAATGCGTGTCGGTCCAGTTGAAGGCTGGTTTCTTTGCTTCTTTGTGTTTTTGGGTGCGAATTGTTGTGGATTTACTAAACTCTGATCGTGATCGATCGTGGACGATTTCAGCTGTTAATGTTGTATGGCTGGTAATGCCTGTGGACTTGCTCTGCGTTGCGTTGCGTCAAGCGGCTGTACTTCCATTGTCTGACGCGCAGTGGTTAACTCAGAACTGCCACAGAACGGAGGAGTCCGACATTCTAATTAGAACAATGTATTGAGATGCCCACTGGTGGTCAGTTTTGATGCACTGTGATTTCTGCCCAGTGCTCTGAATGCCAAAGTGAAGCTTGCTAACTACTGTGCATGTTATAGTAAACCGGTTATATGAACCAATACCTGGCATTTGTAAGAGTTTCTTCGACATGTAGGTTGAAGGATCCCTGTTGGCTACTCCTGTTATATGTGCATGCCATTTTCCACATGAATGAATGTGTCTATTGTTTTTAATTAAAATAATTTTTCATCTTCCCCGATTTTCATAAATATTGTTATCTATATTTAATTCAACTTGGTTATTCCCTTTGATTATAATTAGACCGAAGTGCTTGGCCTCGGAATGACAAGGCAACTCCTTTTGCAGATGCTTCGATGATGTCTGATTATTTAAATTGAATTAGATTGGTTGATGGTAACTGGTAGCGGAATCCAGGACAACTCGTATTTCGTTCTATTTGGGACTTTTGGATAAGGCTTTCGTGTGGATTCCACTGCCAATCACTATCCACTAATTTACTTCAAGTTAAATCCTCAGACATCATTGAAGCATCCGAACAAGGTGTCAACAGAAGCCGAGCACTTCTGTCCAATTAATCAACGAGAAAGTTTAAGTTGAATTAACTAATTACCGATACCCGTTGGCTGTCGTAGCCCAAGTGGTCTAGTGGATAACGCTTTAGCGTTTGCAACTGTGGATACCACCTATAAACCAAATTTTTTAATAATGTAAACATTTCCCTACCTGGGAAGTATCGTTTCAACTACAGCCGGACGGAATTGATGAGGCTATCAAAGCGAGGATCGGGAAAGCAATGCAAGATTGCATTTCTCTGAAGTCTGTGTGGAGGAGGTCAACAGCACTCAGTATGAAAAATAAGATCCGGATTTTCAGCTCCAATGTGAAGTCAGCACTACCTATTGTACGGATCAGACACTTACTTGGCCAGAGCGTCACGAAGGGCACTTCGAACAAACTACACGCCTTCATCAACAGCTGTCTTCGCTCAATACTTCGCTTAAGATCAGATGACCGGCCAGGAAAGATCAGAAACAGGGATATCTGGGAATGAGTCAACCTGGGACCAATTGTGCAACAAATATGCAGGAAGAAATGAAGGTGGATTGGCAGGCCATACTCTGAGAAAACTCTCAAGTGACATCAAACGCCAGGCTATCGTTCGTGTGGAACCCAAACGGGAAGCGGCGAGTTGGTCGTCAGTGCGAGGGTGACATGGAGGAGGTGATGTGAAGAGGAGATGAAAGCATGGGGGCAGACGTGAAGCCAGGTGAAAAAGTTGGTGGAGAACCGAAGGCAGTGGAAACGTGCGGCTGAAGCCCTATGTTCCTCTAGGAATTAAAGGAAACAATAATAATAATATAATAAATATCATTTCATATATGGTTAAATGCTCTTCTTTAACTTCATTTTATCTCTCTCTCTTTCTGTCTTGTATTTCAAGTGAAATTATAGCATCTACTATGCAACAGATTGTCCAGTTAGACGCCACTTTATCCGCTTTACTTATCCCACCTGGGTTATGCGCTCAAGCTATGGTTCTGTTTGAACCACTTCAAAATGATCCTGAATTAGGCAGAGAATGGAGTGAACCTGAAGCCTTATTTCTACGTTGGTGGGGTACTGTGAAACGATTACGTGAAAAGCTATTTTCACTCTTTGAAAGTGTTATACTATCAGATTTAGATTTTTGTAATACAGCACATGTGGAACAAGGAATGTGGAAATCTGTATTCTATACTGTGTTGGAATCACTTCGTTCATGGATTGAAAATCCACAGTCAACTCAGTAAGTGTTTGTCTTTTTAATAATTCATGGGTGTTTTTTTTACATTCCTTCGAGTTTGAGCCCTTGAAATTCCTATGGTCTTGTTGTTTAGTTTACGGGGCGGGGTTGTTAGCCTCACGCCAAATTTTCCCACTTTTCTGAACCTGCTATCCACCTAGTAAACTTGGTGAGGGTTATAGAGTGCGTCAACCGGGAGTCGAGCCCGAGACACTTGCATGGTTGGCGAGCGTTTTACCACTGAACCTCAGCCGCACTTAATTCATTCATGGTTAGTAAGGCTTAGTTGATGATGCTTCGGTAAATGTTGGCTGATTTCAGACCTATATGTGCATTCCAACTTCTGCTAATTCGTGATACATATTTAGCGCAACCGTGAATAATTGTCCTCTCGCCTGACCTACCGGACCCTGCTGTTTACGACTTCTCACTAGAGAGCCCCAGGTAGCTTCCTGTATAGAGCCTATCGCTAGTGTGCACCAGATTAATTGTCAAATGTTGGTTTGCAGCGATTCGATTGGTTACAGGATTAATCAAGAGCTGACATCAGTTACAGAACCATTGGAATAACAGCAGGGAGTACTGGACAGCTGTGTCGCCCTAGTTTGGGACACCTCATCAGTACGCACTCACCTCTAGGGTTCGAACTCAGGACCTACCGGATACCAGGTGAGCTCGTAAGGTCCAGCAAGCTAGCTAAGAGGATAGTTACTCGCCTGTGACACACAGTTGCTAGTGAGCATCAGATGAATATTCGAGTGTTGGTTTTCGGGGATTCGGTCGGTTACAGGATTTTATCATGAGCTAACGTCGGTTAGAGAACTGTTGGAAAACCACCAGAGAGTACTGGGCGACTGTTTTGTCCTAGTTTTGGGACTCGTCAACAGTGCGTACCCACCAGGGCTCGATGAAATGTGTGATATTATATTTCTTTATTTGATTCATCCTTCTCCCTTGATATATTATAGGGGAGTGTGAAGTATAAGCGACTTGGGCTGCAAGTCTGTAATGGTTTACGTCCTATGCTGAGACTACATATATCTTTCTAATAATTTTATGAATCTAATTTCTAATTTTCTTTTCCTTTATATTTACAGATTAATTCCAAAGTTTCCAGACAGAGATCAAGAGAGCATAAAACTGCATGAAAGTCAGTTAACTAGTCTTATTCGCAAAATTTGTCTCACTGAAGTTATCGACTCAGGAACAAGTCAGTTGACTGCACTTCTTGAACATATACAAAATCTTCATCATATTCAATTAGCTGCACTCTTGTCAGATGGTCGACCTCCACCGGAGACAAAATCACGAACACGTCGTTTAGTCTATTTAAGTGCACAAAAGTTAATGTTATTCCTTGGTGATTTAGCACGATATAGAGAAATGTTACTTGGTGAGAGAAATTTTGGAAAAGCTCGAAAGTAAGTTTTCTAATGTTTTTTTGGCTCATACTTTATTTTAAAAGATGTGAAGGTATCTAACCAATAACAAGAAGCGTCAATCACTATCAATAGGAGAAATTTGGAGGAAGTTATCTCTTTGACTTAACTAGTCAGCATTGTTTCAGCTGACTACAGACGGCAGACAACAGCAAGAACAACAACAGACAACGATCAGCATAAATGGGAGGAACCTGAAAGAAACAACCTCTTTTACTTACCTGGGAAGCATCGTCTCAACTACAGTCGGAACTGACGAGGATATCAAAGCAAGAATCGGGAAAGCAAGACAAGCTTTCACTACTCTCAAGTCTGTGTGGAGGTCAACAGCACTCAGCATGAAAACGAAGATAAGATCCGGATTTTCAACTCCAATATGAAGCCAGTCAGTGCTACTATACGGATCAGAGACTTGCACTGCGCGTCATAAAGAGCACCTCATACAAACTACAGACCTTCATTAACAGTTGTCTTCGCTCAATACTCATGATCAGATGGCCAGAAAAGATCAGCAACAGAGATCTCCGATAGCGAACCAACCAGGAACCGATTGTAAAACAAATAGGCAGGAAGAAGTGGAGATGGATTTGCTGGCCATACTCTGAGGAAACAAACCATCAAGTGACATCACTAGACAAGCCATTGCTCGAGTGGAACTCGAAAGGGAAGCTGCAAGTTGTTCGTCAGTGCAAGGGTGACTTGGAGGAGGTCATGTGAAGAGGAGACGAAAACGTGTGGGCAAACTTGGAGTCAGGTGAAGACTCTAGCAGAGAACCGAACGCAATGGAGACCCACGGCTGAAGCCCTATGTTTGTCTAGGAATTAAAGGAAACAATAATGATAATAACAGACGGCAGTACAGATGGGGATGTTAAAGCCAGGCAGGATTAGAAAAATAAGACAAATCGTCATCATCCTGAAGTCATTGTTGAAATCTTCTGCATTCAGCATGAAGAACAAGATTCAGATCTTCAGGACTGATTTACAAACTTGGTGCGTGTGTCATCAAATGCATTTCGAACAGGCCACTGCAGACTTTCATTAACAGCTACTTCCTCTGGATTAGTACTGAAAGGTCAAGAAGAAAGGATAGGCAACGGGGAACTCTGGTAACGAACCAATCAAGAACCTATTGCTCAACAAGTATGTAGAAGGTAGCGGAGATAGATTGGACGTATGCTGTGCTGAGGAGACCACTCTGAATGAAATCATGTGCTGGCCAGTCAATCAAGTGGAGCCCGAACGGGAAACGATGAATTGGGCGTTGGTCCGAGGGTAACATTGAAGAGATCATATGATGAGAAAATGAAGGCCTATGGGTAACCATGGGGCCAGCTGAAGAGAACTGCAGAGAACAGGGCAAAATGGAGATATGCTGTTGAAGTCCTATGTTCCACTAGAAACCCAAGAGAATCATAGTAATAAGGAATACATATAAGGTTATTTGAGTCGGTTTTTCAGTGGTAGGATGTTTGCCAACCACTCTGGAGGTCTGAGTTCGATTCCCAGCTGACACACTATTTAAACCTCTCCTAGATAACTAGGCCGTAGTGTGGTAAGAGCTGTCTGCAAGATAAAATTGTAGACAACAATTTACGTCTATGTTTACATCCCAAATCGGGGTCATGAGAAAAAAACAATAACAAAGTTTAACCTTGAAGAACTCACCGACCAATCACAGCAGACTTATATTTTTATTATTTATTCCCTTGCGTTCCGAGTGGAACAGAGAGCTGGCTTCAACAACACATCTCCACTTTGTTCTGTTTTTTTGCGGTCCTCTTCAGCTGGGTCCTCGATTCACCAAACTCTCTCATCTCATCCTCACATAATCTCCTCCATATCACCCTAGGACGACTCACTGGTTGGTTCCTATTTGGATTCCACTCGAGAGATGGCCTGCATTGAGCGCAATATCATTCGGTGGCCTCCTCAATGTATGCCCGATCAGTGCATCTCCACTTTCTCCTACATATTTGTTGAGCAATCGGCTCTTGCTTGTTGGTTTGTTCCCCCAGTTTCTTGTTACCTATTCTTTCTGACCACTTGATCTTCAGTATGGAGCCAGTCAGTGAAGATGGCAGCTGTTGATGAAAGTCTGCAACCTGTTGGAATTCCTTTTTGTGACACACTGGCCAAGTTTCTGACCCGTATAGAAGAACCGACAGATTTCACATTTGTATTGAAAATCTGAATCTTCTCCTTTACACTAACTGTGTGCAGAAAATTTCCAAACTGGTTTCAGGTTGATGAATGCGTATTTTGCCTTTCCGATTCTGACTGGCCTTGACATCTTCATCCGTTCCACTGGCCTGTAGTTGAAACGATGCTTCCTAGGTAAGTGAAGGAGATAACCTCTGTTAAATCTCTTCCGTTGATGGTGATTGGTGCTGGTTGTTGTTGCTGTTGGCTGGTTGGTTATCTTCATCACCTGCGTTTTCTCTGTGCTTACCTGGAGTCCTGTCTTCTCTGGCTGCCTCTTCAGCCAGTTTTTTGGTTTTCGCTTGCAAGTCTTCGAGTTTGTGTGACATTAGACACTTGTCATCCACGCGAGAAATCCAGATCTTCTAGAGCCTTCTTACCGGTTCGCTCCCCACAATCTGACGCATAACCCAGTCCACTACAATTAAGAACATTATCGGTGATAATAGGCAGGCCGTCATGTCTTGCTCCTATATTCACTTAGAACGCCTCGCTGAGTTTTCCGTTGTGGATCACTTGACACGTGCCACTGTTGAATGACGTTGATAAAGACTTGAGGTACACCGTAGTGTTGAATTAGTTTCCAAATTCTCGGTCTACGCTGTTGAAGACTTCACGTGTGCAAATACGATTCGCAGATATATGGCCCAACTTTCCAAGAAGCGGCCTCAAAGAGATGACGGAATAACCTTGAGCAAGAAAACAACCAACCAGAAGACTTTGCTTCTCTGCTAACAATAACGAATAATAATGTACATAGAAATCTATAAATAACTCTTGATTTTCTCAATAAACCGTCCTCTGCTTGGCCCTTGTCGTTACAGCAGTATCGCCTGATAAAAGAGGGAGAGTTCCATGTGAGGCTAGTAACCTCATCCTGTGAAGATAACATCACTACTACTAATGAAACTCCAAAGCTTTGAAGTCCTGTCTCCCACTCGGAACTCTATGGGTCTTTCTTCTGATGATTATCTCTTGTGAATGAGTTATTTTTATGGCTATTTGTCCTCAGTGTCATACAGCGACGTGGAAGTGATGCTAGAAGACAGAGTACGATAGAGATGCACAGCTGGAGCCATTTGTTCCACTCGGAATGTAAGGAATGAATACTGCTACTACTAATAATAATAACACTCCTTTCCTCATGAGAGGATAAATTTCTGAATCCCTTTCATATAGATCAGGTTGTGATACAACTACTAACACCGATCTTTTAGCTTATATTGACCTTAATATTAGTTTTTAAAAGAAATAGGAAGTGTTATATAAATCACACTGCTTATATTCCATATAATTCTTACTGTCACTTTTTTCCCGCCTATTGTTGTCATGGTAACCATCAACACGTTGTATCTGCATTTAAACAACATTAGAGTATAGGGATTTATCGACTTCAGTATGAAACTACTTACAATAATTTTTGCTATTTTCTTATCTATTTGAGATTTTTTAATAAGTATTAGTAAAATCTGCAGTTTTAATTCATTAATTTATTATTGTTATTATTATTGTGATTTTCACTAGTTGGTATCAGAAGGCACAACTCTTAATACCTAAAAATGGTCGTTCGTATAATCAATTAGCTGTTTTGGCTTTGTATACAGTAAGTGCCTTTTTCTTTTTATGTATTATTTCTTGTATTTATGTGAGTATGCATGTGCGCGACATGTCTCTGAAATTACTTCATCATTTCGGCTATTGTGAAGCTATTGGTTTTTATCAGTTGTTCAGATTATTGAAATATGTATATAAATAATATTGCTGTTTGTCGTTTAAGTCAATTTTGATTTTCCCGTTAACCGATTGGACCCCTACATGTTCGGCGTTTGTTGACACATATCATCGTCTAGTACGCAGACACTTCATTGATGTCTGAGTATTTACATAAGGTCACTTAATCAAATAGTGGTGACTAGCAGTGGAATCCAGGAAGCATATTTCGTCGTATTAAGAGTTCGTCAGCTGAATGTACCTACATTCACCAGTGAGTGAATGAGTGAGTTCTACTGAGACTCGAACCCAGTATTCATCGTTTCAAATACCTCAGCGTTATCCACTCAACCACATGACCATGAAAAATACCTCATGTGCAGCGGACATCAGTTATCTATGTTATTTGTTCAAGTTAATTTCGGCGTTCCCGTTGAAATGACTAGATAGAAATGTGCCGTCACTGTTGCGGCATGTCGACTCGTTGTACGAGAGCTTTGATGATATCTGGAGGCATTCGCGGCTCAAGTGGACTAGTGCATAACGCTTTGGCTTTCAAAACAATGGGTATTGGGTTCGAACCTCAGTGGGAAAACTATCGATCATTGGGGAACGCAGGCACTTATGGATGATGAATCCTAAATGGGATGAAATGTGCATCCTGGATTCCACTGCTACTCACCATCTACTGAATGACTTCATGTGTAAAAAACAATAAGCGAAATCTATTATGTGATAAACAATACTAATAGTATATAGCCTTCAAAGATCTGTCTGTCTGGGTTCAACATAGAACTTGGCACCGAAGTGCAGCAGTTCGAGTTGCCACGTTCCAAATAGCACACAAAGGTAGACAGGAAAATGAGTGAAGAAAATCAATAGAGTTTTGACAAGTATGAGAGTGAAACAGAATGAGTAATGGTAGAAAGGAATATGAAAGATTACAGAGACTGAATACATCTGCGTAAGCCATTGACAACGATTTTGAGCCATGTCACCTATTGTCTCCAGCCATTGATTCTTAGAGTCCCAATGACCCCAACCCGGAAGTCTGCATCTCCCTACTTGACTCAGTTTAACTGTCAGGGATTTCATGAATTGATTGGTGCCATGTTTTTGTTTGGCCACCACTTACTCTTTTGCAACCTGCACCTATATCAGCTAGTAATGCCCATCGGGGTGGGGGAGGCGATGGTTAGGCATGCTCAGCACGTGACCTAGCCATCTCAATCTATGTAACTTTATAGCCTCTTCGATTGGTTTTCGCTCTTTGCTCAACACTCTACGCCTAACGTCAACATTACTTACCTTATTATGCCACCTAACTTGAGAAAGAGACCGTAGACAAGTATGATCAAAAACAGACAACCTTTTCATGTCTTCAACTCGTATTGGCCATGTTTCAGAGCCATAGAGAAGGACGGAGCGAACTGCTGAGCAGTACACACGTCCCTTGGTTGATAGCCGGATGTCACGCCTTCAACGATCTTACAGGAATTCAGAGGTGTGTGGCGTCGGCAAGCCACCTAGCTTTATGTGATCACATAGCGAACTGGACTGGGATAAAATTTAGTCTGCATTACAATACGAAAAATTAGATACATGATAGTGGTCAGTCAATCGTGATCCTGAGTAGTCCAGTGGTAATGTTTCTGACTGCTGCACTAGGTGACGCAGGTTCAAATCTTCAAGGGTGACGCGTGAGTTCATTCATTGGTTGCAGATACGCTGTCAAAAGAGTAGGATCAGAAACAGTCAGTTGTCGAGATCAGAAAAGATCGTGAACCTAACGCTGTCGCAGAAAACTAATCGCTGCGAAAGAATACTGCTATGTGCTGTCACCAGCTCGAAAATGACCAGAAGTAAACAAACTGTTGGTTTGCGGATTGTTTATTTCTTCACCGATAATAAACAACCAGGACTACAGAGTTACCAGACACAAAATCTATACTAGATAGCCATCAGCATAAATCACAATAATACTTCTAATTGTCTTACTCCAGTCTTCTGTAAACAATGTACGACTAGGCCACGACTGCGACTGTTGCCTGCCGCCAAAATGGAGACCACTTCGAATAAACAAAACCGTATATTGTTCATTCAATGTTCATCAACACTGACATAAGCCTTGATGACGAGTGCCAACAAGCACAAAAAATTGGTTAGACGAAGCTTTCTGCCGATCGTCTCCTAAATGGCAATCAAGAAAGCAAGCGAAATAGCATGATGGAGCTATTCTTTTGATTGATATTCGAGTGCTAGGTAAAGAGGGGAAATCAATATACGAGGCTGTGAAGCTACATCGATTGAGATGGTTAGGACATGTGTCACGTATGCCTACCTAGCCATCGCCTTCCTCAGCAACGGGCAGTGTTAGCTGACATAGGGTCAGGCTGGTAAAGAGCTGGCGGCGGTCAAAATAAAACATAGCTTCATCAGTCAATGAAATACACAACAGTTAGTTTAAGCCAACCAGCCACATAGGAAGGTGTAGACTTCCTGACTAGTTGGGGTCCTCTGGATGGTAAGAACCAATGGCTGGAGACAATTGGTGATATGGCTCAAAACCGTCGTTCTCAATGACTGGCGCATATGTATTCACTCCTTGTGACTTATAATACTCAATAAAACTATATTGTTCTTCGTTACTGCTTTTCTTTTTGCCTCGCATCTCTCTTTACTGTCTCTATTTTGCATTTCTTTTGACTTTCTTCTTCTTCTCTGGCTTTGTGTGCTACATGGAGTGTGGTGATTCGAACTGCTGCACATCGTTACAAAGTTCTATGCTGGAACCAATCAGTCAGTCAGCTGATTGATATAGGTGGTTACCAGTTATTCAAAGTAAAGTTGTTAGCTGAACATTCAAGATGGTTTCAAACTGATTTGACTCACGTTATTATTTATATTTATTTATTTTATTCCTTTAAGTTCTGAGTGGAACATAGGGCTTCAAGCTTCAGCTTTGATGTTAAACTAGCAGTGGTTTGATCTTTACAGGGGGTGAGGTTGCTAGCCTCACCTTCAATTTTCCCTCATTGCCCACCCGCCTTACTACTGGCTTAGCGTCGGCCGGGAATCGAACACCGGACCACGTGAGGCGTGATTGGCGAGTGCTCTACCACTGAACCACTGACTGTATGTGGTAAACGCTATGAGTACGATGGGGTATATCGTTGATGACTCCTACCTCGGACGAGCAGAACTAACCGTATAGTCCAACCAGCAGCAGGCACTAACTGATGGTAATTCCAACCAGCGTTCTTTTCCGATAACTAGCCAAATAGTAAAACACTAAGATAATCTGAATAAGAGTAGTATAATACGATTTTAAAAAATAACTCTTCATTTATTATTATTATTTTTATGCGAAGACGCTAATACAATTTGATAGTTATTTAAATTCTGCCTATGTGTATATTATATGCTTGGTACTGTTTCTGTACTGTTGCGTTCTGTGACCTGAATGGTTTAGTCGTTTGGAGCTCTCATTATGTATGAAGGTATAACTCTATTGACTTTAAAGACATTCGACTTTCAGCCAGTCAATCAGTTGTTCCCGGGTTCAAATCCCTCTCTCCACCTATTCCACCCTTGGCAACTGGGTAGTAATATCAATTGTTACACTATATGCCTGGAGAATAGTCTGAAGCATGAGAAATCGTTTCAGCATCGTATAGATCCAACTTGCTTTACTAGACAACTAGTCAACAACATTCATATTTCAAGATTTTAATCACGGATTGATGTCAGTTAGAAGGGAACCATTGAAAACAAGTAGAGAGTACTGGAAAACCGTTTCGTCCTACTTTGTAACTCATCGTCAGTACGCACCCACCAACACGGTTCGAACCCAGGATCTTACTGTGACAAGACGAACTAATAGACCATCATTAAGCCACTGGGACCCGAGTCAATGGCCAATCCATGAATTCTAACGTCTACCAATTCGTAATGCATTTATAGTGCGACTAGCACCAGCCGAAGTCATTGGATCCGAGTATTTCTCCTCACTCCCGACCAGTTGAAGTGAATCCTACTGGTCACAACTTTTCACTAGAACTCCTCTAGGCAATTTCCTCTTGCAGTCAGCCAGTTACTGGCGAGCAATCATATTTATTTTCAGGTTAGCTTTGCATTTCTTGTTGTGATTATTGATTATGTCCGCTCCTTGTACGGACAATTTGACGATGCTTAAGGATTAATGTGATGTTATTTTGATTGGCAGTAACTACCAGTGCAATCCAAGGATACGCATTTCGTCTTGTTTGGACGCCAGAGCGTTATCCACCAGGCCATTTGGTGTTTGAAACGATGACTGCAGGGTTCGAGTATCAGTGGGAATGCCATCACTCACTCACTCACTCACTCACTCACTCACTCACTCACTCACTCACTCACTCACTCACTCACTCACTCACTCACTCACTCACTCACTCACTCACTCACTCACTAGGAATGCAGGTACATCCACCGGATGATGAGTCCCAATTGGGACGAAAAGCGCATCCTGGGTTCCACTGCTTTGGTTTTCATTACCAAGAAAATTAATAACATTTGTGGTTGAATCAAATCACTTTTTGCTATGTTGTTCATTCTCCCCTTGTTTTTTAAAATTTTTTTGTCTTTCTTAGTCCAGGCATTTAGATGCAATGTTTTACTATATGCGCACACTTGCCGCTAGTAATCCCTTCGCTACAGCATCACAGAGTTTAGCAGCTCTATTCAATGAAATACGTCCACGCGCACAGAATATGATTATGCAGGTATGTTAGACAATCTGATTTATATGATTATTCTCATTGTAACATACATCTATACTATTATGACACGATTTTGGGTTATGTTACAAAAGGAGGGAGTCTCAAACTATTGATTATTAATATCAGAAGGACACTAGATGAATGGATGTATGAATGTATGATGTACATCCCTACCTGCACGACTCAGAGCAATAAATAATTAGAGACTTTATGAGACTGAGAAAACCACCAAGTGGCATCACACGCCAGGCCATCGCTAGAGTGGAACCGGAAAGAGAAGTGGAGAGTTGGTTGTCAGTGTGAGGGCGACATGGAAGAGGTCATGTGAAGAGGAGATGAAGGCATGTGGGCAGATGTGAAGCTAGATGAAAACGTTGGCTGAGAACCGAAGGCAATGTAGACGTGCGGCTGAAGCCTTATGTTCCTCAAGGAACTGAAGGAGACAATTAATAATAGTAGTATGACTTGGTGCCATGTTTTGATATGTTAAACGCTTAGAGTGTTCTGGTAAATAAGCCAACTTCAACGCTTCATACCTTGTGGGCAAAAATGTTGACATGATTGTATGACATCTATATTAGATATTCCATACAACCAGTTCTCTTTATTAATCTGAATAAAGGAAGTTTCGATTCTCCTCAACTGCCTACATCCTAAACAAAATCAACTACTTTACTTCCTTTTAAACGGAGATTTTCAGGGATATGCTCAGAAAATCTAGTAGACTCTGTCTTCTTAGTTCTTCCTATTTACTGGCTGCCGAAAATGCTGGTGAGAATTACTAAATGCAGTTGTCTACTTACATCATCTTTGAAATTATGTTGCCTATACGTTCTATCTAGAACTCGACATCTTTGTAAGTAGGATGTTCAAAAGTTTTGTGAGTGTTAATTGATTTTGTTTAGGATGTGTACGCAGTTGAAGAGAATCGACGAAATAAAACTACCTCGCATTATCCTGTCTGCAAATGTATTCATGCTTTCGATATTAGTTATCTCACGATTGGTAAATGATCACGAATCTATGAATTTAAAAAAATCCTTTACGTTCCCAGTGGAACATAGGTGGCTTCAAGCTAGAGGCTTGAAGTTTCGGGATAGGATGCCCAACCTTCCCATTTACCAGTCTAATTACTGGCTTAGTAAGGTAAGGGAATGCGTCGGTGGTCGGAGATCAAACCTCGAACCACAGGCGTAGTCGGTGAGTATTCCACCGCTTTGCAACCAACGCACATTCTATAAACTAATCAGTGAATGTTGTTTAATTCCCCGGTGGCTTAATCACTTTCCCACCCTTTCGATTTCTCTGAAATATGTTTGTTCATTTGGATAAATTATTCCATCTGGTAATGCTTTTAACTTCCTTTCGAATCAAATTCAAAATTTTCAATGTTGTGCAGATTGCGAGGCAGTGAAATTTCACCATAGTTTCCTTTGGAGACTAAATGGTTCAGATCGCAGTACGTGATCTACTACTGATTGATTGAGGTGAGTAGTAGTGTGGTGAGAGCTGGCTGCGAACAAGCCAGAAATTGTGGACACCAATTTACGTCAATGTTTACGTCCCAAATCGGAGCCGTGAGAAAAAACACAATAACAAAGCTTAACCTTGAAGAACTCACCAACCAATCACAGCAGACTTAACGTGTGGAAATAGGATTCTCAGACATGGCTGAACTTTCTGAGACACGGCCACAAAGAGATGACAGAATAACCTTGAGCAAGAAAACAACCAATCAGAAGACGCTGTTTCTCTGCTAATAATATCGAATAATAATGTACATAAAAATCTATAAATCTCTCTTGATTTTCTCAATAAACGATCTGTTACCTGGCCCTTGTCTTCAGTCGTTACAGTAGTAGTTGTACAGCACTTATATCAACCTATAGTAGTACTCGCTAACCAGCTAGATCGAGATGATCTAATCCCCGGACAGTTTGAAATGATTCGGTTTTCTGAGCTAAGTAAAACTGGGTGTGCACCTCAGATGAGGTTTTCCTCAAAGGAGCGAAACATCCATCCGTTCTGTGTTTAGATAATCTCAATCTGGTTGTCCGGCTGGCTAGCAAGCACTCCTACTGTTTTATATGAGTGGTATACAACTACTACTTTTACTCAGTCAATCAGTAGTATGTAGTCTTCCGAAAATTAACTTTCTTGTGATGTTCCTGAGTGCGTTGCACAATAAGTGGAGACAGAATTTCCAATAAAATTGATCATTAGAGTCCTTGAAATTTTTATTTCACTGATGATGGATGATTTGCAGTGGAATCCAGGATGGGCATTTCGTCCTGTTTGAGACTCATCAACTGAATGCATCTGTATTGTCTTAAGTAAGTGATGATCGTATAGTCACTGAGAGTACCGAATATTACACGAATTTGGTTCATAATGTGTACTAAGAGATGCTCTACACTAAATCTCATAGTTTTGCGAGGGCTGGGATACTGCCCGGGCACCCAGATCGAAGCAAATGGTTGTTGTTTTAAGGGATCACTCTGGAGTCTTTAACTTGAAGTCTCACCCACTAGGCAGTGGAAAAGCGTCAGGAGCCACGTTCTCACTGCTTCCGGTGTCCGAAACAGGTTCACATACTATTCGATTCTTTCATATTCTGGAACTGTTGTGCCCCGTAGATTTTGAATCCGGGTTTTCTAGCATGTCTCAAAGTCCGATTGTAAGCACCAGAGGTCCACTTTCGTTTTATCACTCTTGTGGGGAACAGCATCGCTGCATGAGGCCAGTGAATAGGAATAACCTGGTAGGCGGTATGAACTCGTGGCTACACATGCGATAGCATTTGGAGGGCCAGACCGAAGTCCCCTCACCTCCGATTGTACCAAGTCGTTTCAGGAGGCACCGAGTAGGACGTCACGCGCCTCATTCATCCGTTTACAAACAATAATAAATCATGTAAAATCAAATTTAACCTTTGGGTATTTGTTGAACATTTCGGATTAACAGATGGACTGAGCATTTCTGTCCAGTAAAATGTGCGTTCAATTCTTTCAATGACATTTATTGTTTGTCAGTAGGCACATACATGATAATGCATTTACCTATGAGTTACACTTGTGGTGCGTTGTTGTCTACAGCATAAATCTGAGGATGCTTATTATGCATTAGGTAGGTCGGTGTACTGCGAATCAGAATCGTAGCTTTCGAGATAAGTGGTATGGGAGCCTCAACGGGATCACGAATTACCGATGCTCCCCGAAGCAGAAGACGCCTTACGTAGCCTGGGTATGTAGAATGCTTCGTATTGCCCAGTCATTTAACTGTCCTCAGTGTGTAGCAGGAACAAAATGGACGGGAAAATGTGTGTCGGTGGCACAGTGGTTAGGACTCTTGCCGACCATGCACATGGTCCGGGGTTCGATCCCCTACCGACGCACACCCGATATCTATGGTCGGCCTGCAAAATTTGGGCTACCGATATCCATGCTGAAAATGCCATACTTGTACTGAAAATACGGTGTGGCATCAAGCTGTAATCAAAATAAATAATGAAAAGAAAAAAAAATAATAATGAAAAATGAATCCGAAAATAACCTTGAAAAGGAATAAAATGACTCATTTTATCACTCTTACTGTTTAGTTATAAAGCACAATTTATCTCTTTTGTTACCACCACCAAAAAATGGATTAGATTCAAAAGCCAAAATCAGAATCCGCTCAACCGCTCTGTTCTGGATTCACTTCGTATAATCCACGATTTCAACGTGCTGAAATCTGGATTCATCCAGTTGATGGCCAGACTACTGTTATTCAAGGTGGACGACGATTAACACATTTAAATCATAAACCATTTATTGATAATTATAGAGGAAATAGTACTAGTGGTATCAGTCACAAGGGTAAACCTGGATCAAAGTCAAATCTATCCACTGGCGAACAGTATCAACAATCTCCTGATGCTGCCGCTGTCGGTGCTGATAATGAAGATGAGGATGATGACGAAGAAGCTCAAGCAGAAGCTGAAGAATATGCAAATATTTCATTAATTGAGGTATGTGATGTCTTTTTCTCCCTCTTTCTTCCTTTAATCTTTTGAGTTCTTTGTTTCTGAAGTTATTTTGACCACAAAAATATCTTACCATTACTCCTAAGGCTTAGTTAGTTAGTTACTCAGAAGTTATGTACTTCAGAACAGAATCTTCATGTATCAAGTCATGGTGAGCGTCGATGGTTCAGTCGTAGAACGCTCGCCAACCACATAGCACATGGTATGAGGTTCGATCCCCAGCCGACGCACTCCTTAACCTCTCTACGCTGGTAGTAAGGTCGATAGAGAGTTAATGTTGGGCGTGAGACTAGGATCCCTACCCCGCATAAATAAAACCACTGCAACTGAAACTTTAAAGCCCTATACTCCAATCGGAACGTAAAGGAGTTAAAAAAAAGGTCGTGGTGCGGTGGCGGTCATTATTATTATTATTATTTTGATTACAGCTTGATTCCACACCAAATTTTTGGTACAGGTATGGAATTTTCAGCATGTGATATCGGTAACCCAAATTTTGCAGGCCGACCATAGATATCAGGTGTGCGTCGGCAGGGGATCGAACCCCGGACCATGTGCATGGTCGGCGAGAATCCTAACCACTGTGCCACCGACGCACACTCTGAAGTATGCTTCAAAAGAAAAAAAATTGATGTGTTATGCACAAATTATACACATATCGAAAAAGCTGAGGGTGAGAGACAGGGAGAGAGAGAGAGCGCAACTCTAGATTGTGCAATGGCATACATGTCACCTAATTGACACAGGAGGTCAGTGGAACAACTTGAATTCTCTCATTAATATATGTGCAAAACTTAGGCACTGTAGTAGTAAGTAATTCCATATTAGTTTGTTTATTAGATATATCAGACAGTGAAACAGCATTATTTACTGGATGACACAGTTTCGAACACAATCTATTATTGTTCATAATCACTTCATCAATTACAATCACACAACTTCGAAACTTGAGTTTTATAATTTCCTTTGTTCTCTCCTATTTGTCGTTGTTGGGGTAGTAGAATTTTCCAGATGTTCGACTGGACAGGTGTTGAATCATTCCTATTACATGTGTTTGCAGTTGATTCGATAAACAAAGCTTCTGTTGCCAATCTCTCCCTCCACCCTGCTGTTACATTAGATTTTGAAACTGTCATCTTATCCCATCCAGCCTATTGTATGGTTGTGTGTGATTGCATGTGTTGTAGTGCTGTAGGTGAACTATTCTCTAGATTTCTCATTTTATTCCGGTCAACTAATCTAGATTTTGCCAGGTTTTTATGCTCGGCTAGTCTGACTGCACCTGTTCTACTACTTTGACCTGATAATCATTGCAGGGCATTAGGTTATTGAATTCTTTCGAGATAATCAATAAACGAACAGGCTCAAGTTTTGTTAATATTTACACAAGCTGTCAATCTATCTACAACAAATGGCTAAAGCTCTGAATTTAATTATGTGCTCAGAAAGAAGCCGGAATATTGTAACAGCAGGAGGCAAGACATGGAAGCCAAGGTATATTTTTTTCAAGTGATCAAATAGCTATTTATATCTATACAGTTTATATTCTTTAACCAATCACTGAGCGTGTGATTTTAGTTTACATTAAACGGTATAAAATAAAATGTTGAGGTAAATATATTGTATTCTGTTGCTAATGCAGTATTGAACTGTGAGAATAAATATTCCATTGGAACACACATTGTCTGTATCACATCACTACAATATGGCTCTCCCCCTAACCTTTAATTGATCGACTATGTCAATCTAAATTCAATGCGAAAATGTTGATTTTTTTATTCACTGTTGCTTGGTAACATTGTCACTTGATAAATTGATATCATCTTACGGCTAAGTTAAACTTTAAGTACCACTAACTACCAGTGGAGTGCGAACGCACCAATGACCGTGAAACGCTCACTGAGCAAATTAGTGAAACCTGGCAAATAATGTTGTCATCATCAATAAAATATCCTCATCTTAGTGTCATGCTATTAAATGGGATATCTGGCAAGTTTCAGCTTAGGTTTGTGGTAAAGATTAAGTTGCGCTTTAAGGCAAGGACAAGTTAGGGTGAGGTTAACCTAATAAAGGCGACATTAGGGTTGGTTTGAGTTAGATTACTGTTTGTTTAGGGATATTTTCACGTTAGAGTTAGGTTCAGGAGAGATTAGAGTTATTGTTAGAGTTAGAAGACCTTAATAGTTACATGCATAGAATGTGGTTAAGCTTTTCTGTTAATATAAGAATAGTACTTGTGCACTGTGGTAGAGTATAATTCTATTGTGTGTCGCTGCTTCCGGAGGAATGAACATCCCGAGACCTGCAGCTTTCGAAGGAGATATACAGAACTTTTTGTGGGAATTTGATGACGTTGCTGAGTTGGTGGACTTCTAGCATCCGACAGGGAATACAGTTGTTATATGTGTAAAACTTGGGCACTGTGGTAGTAAGTAATTCCATATTAGTTTGTTTATTAGGTATATCACACAGTGAAACAGTATTATTTACTGGATGACGTTTTGAACACAATTTATTGTTGTTCATAATCATATCAATTGTGATCACACGACTTTGACACTTGAGTTTTATAGTTTTCTTTGTTCTCTCCTATTTGTCGTATGGGTAGTAGAATTTTCCAAATATCGGGGACAGGTGATGAATCATTCCTATTACAAAGCTTCTGTTATCAATCTTTGCGTATACCCTGTGACATTAGATTTTAAATCTGTCATCCTATCCCATCCTATTGTATGGTTGTGTGTGACTGCATGTAGTGCTATAGCTGAACTATTCTCTAGATTTCTTATCTTATTCGGGTCAACCAATCTAGATTTTGCTAAGTTTTTATGTTCAGCTAGTATGACTGCCCCTGTTCTACTAGTTTGACCTATGTATTTGACCTGACAATCATTGCAGGCAGTGTATTAGATAGACTAAATTGTTTTGTTTTAAAGGCTCTACAGGATCCTTTAACCGACAAAGCTTGTTTCTAATTGAGTTTGTGGGTTTGAATGCCGTTTTTATTCCTGCCTTGTTAAGAATTCTGCGTAAGGCTTCCGAGGTTCCTTCCTTGTATGGAATTACTACTGATGATTTAGATTCTTTATTGTTGGTGTCGTCATTAATATTATTATTATTATCACTGTTATCATTATCATTATTATTGTTATTATCACTATCGCTACTATCATTATTTATTTTGTTTTTACATTTCCTTACATATTTCCTGACTAATTTATCCGGGTAATTATTAAGTTTTAAGGCTTCTTTTATGTGTATCAGTTCCTGTTTTAGATTTTCTTTGGTACTACTTAATTTTTGTGCTCTGTCGTTTAAACATTTCACCAATCCTATTTTTACTGACATAGGATGGGATGATCGGAAGTCCAAATATCTGTTGGAGTGTGTGGGTTTCCTGTAAACACTAGTGTTTACCTTCCCATCTTCTTTCCTCTTTACGTTACAATCTAACATTGGGAGCTCCCCTTCCTGATTTTCCAATTCATAAGTGAATTGAATTGCTTCAACCTTCGAGTTGATATGTTCGAAAAACCTATCTATATCTTGTGTTCTAAGTACAGTGAATGTGTCGTCTACGTACCTCCACCATACTTTTGGGGTGGGTGAACGTTTTAATCGCTATGCTTTCCCACTTATCCATGAATATATCTGCTACCACTGGGGATATTGGTGATCCCATGACAACTCCCTCAGTTTGTTTGTATATTTTCCCTTGGAATTTAAATACTGTGGAAGTCAGGCATAGCTGTACTCCCAGCATTATGTCCTCAAGTCGCACTTTTGTCCTAAGTTCGAGTTCTTGGTCAGAAATGAGTTCGTTTCTGACTGCCTTCATAGCCATATTTATTGGTATACGTGTGTATAAACTGACAATGTCAAAACTAACCATTTTCTCTTCATTATCTAATTTTAAATTATCTAATCTATGTTTGAGTTCATAAGAATTAGTTAGTCTAGATTTCGAGTGGATTTTTTAGGGGATTTAATACCATGGCTAAATATTTAGATAATTCATAAGTAGGTGAATTTCTAGAATCAACTATAGGCCTAATAGGGTATCCTGACTTATGAACTTTAACAACACCATACATCCTACTGGGGTTATTAGTTTTGGGCATTAAATTAAACCACTTAGACTCACCTAGAAACGGCTTCATTCGGCGTATAAGATCCGCTGTGGATTTCTTAACTTTATTCATAACTGTATCAATTGGTTTATTAATTTCCTCATATGGTCCTGTTTGTATGTGAGTGTTTACCTTGTCCAAGTAGTCCGATTTGTCTAATACTACTGTTGCATTTCCTTTGTCTGACTTTGTGATAACTATATCCTTGTTATTCTTAAGGTGTTTCAGGGCTTCTATCTCTTGTTTTGTCAGGTTTGGCTTTCCACATTTTTGTCGTTTTAATGTTAGTGCACATTGTGCCTGTACTTCATCAGCCGTAGTTTTGTCTATCCCACTTAGTGCTATTTCTATTTTAGGGATGACATCCTCAGGTTTTAGCTTGTCTACAGATACATTGAAATTTAGTCCCTTTTCTAAAACACTTATTTCCGTAGGACTTAATATATGTGTTGAGAGATTGATAACCCACTTTGATTTATCGATCGCCGTTGACTTTGGATTGTTGACTTCATCATTCTGAGATGAAGATTTCTCTTCTAGTAATTTGTGGTGCTATACAGTTGTGCTATACGGAGGCTTCTGAGAGAGGTTGGGCTAAGGTGGCCATACAACGGCGTGGGCGTTAGATAAATGGAGACCGGTATTTCTCTGGGTGAAGGTTTTTACATTGAAACTGATCGTATAAGTCCCCCTACAGTGGCTGAAGATAACGAGAGAACCATAGGAGAAATTGTCCCGGTGGTTGTCGCACCTGCAGGAATATGACTTCACAATCTTTCACGTTCCAGGGGAAGAAAATTTCTAGGCAGATTTTTTGTTTAAACAGGAAGATGAAGCTGAATTACTGGAAATTGTATACGTAGTTCATTGTATTGGAATGAGACCCGTTAAAACTTGCCAGCAGTCAAATGTCGGACCCTACCCTGAATACAGTGATACAGGTGATCACTAACAGTGGATGCACATTAGCCATGGTTCACGGTGTTGAATCTTGTGAGTGACAGTCTGAATCCATTGTTAAGGCTACGTCAATTGAGATGGCCAAGAGAGACGTTGCTCACCTCACATCACCATTGTGCTCTGCTAGCAGAGTGTTAAGTGATATTGCAGTAGATTGGTGAATAATAAGGTGCGGTCAAATGAAAACCCGGCATCAGTTCTTGGAGTTTTCATCAGTTTATTTAGGTCATTAGTCATATAGGTAGGTGTAGACGGCCTGGTTGAGGTCCTTAAGATGCTTGCATTCAATGGCATGTGTGTGTATCTATTAACGTTTCATGGAGTATTTATGTAATGTTTTGTTGTCCCCTTGTTTGTGTGTGTGTATTTTCCTAATATGATTGATCATTTCCCCTTCTCTTCTTCTGTCTCTTTCTTAGTTGAGCAAGCAATTCGGCTTAGCATTTATACATGCTCACGGTAAACTGTATACAAAAATCGGGTAAGTTGTAATACTTATCGTTTTGCTGTATTGTCGTGTCTGAGGAATGAAAGTCTACGGGTCCCCAGCAAGCTATGAATTGTCAGCTTCCGTTTCTTTACACTCTCCCCCATGAATTATCCAAAACTATTTCGCGAATAGTCTCTTCCGTCACCGATTAACCAGCTGTTAGCGCCACGCCTTCGAACTCTGTATGTAATTAGGAATGAGATGGGGGGTTGGGTGGGAAGAAGGCCATTACTTGGTAGCCAGTTCTTTTTAAAATCTTTGTTTCCTGTGCTTTGAAGTTTCTGTAGTGATTCGGTTGATTTTCCCCGGGGGTGTATTGGGTCGTTTTGCAATGATAATCACTTTATTCGTACACAATGGAATTTTTAGCTTTTATATATATACTGCGACAATTTAATTTCTTTTACAAATAAATAAACATATAGAATGGTAAAACAGGTAATAATTCTGGTTGTAATTTGCTGTTAAATTTACTGATCGAAAGGTTTACTGGCTAATCAATTGTCTCTTCAGACAATATCTCTGTACTAAGTGTGGTATGGCTGGACTTTTTATATTTACGCTTAGATGGTTGGAGGCAATCGGCACGAAGCCTTGCTTGACCTAGTTTCGTGCTAGTTGGCTTCAGTGAGCAAAGAGGTGGAGTTCTTCCCATTAGAAACGGTGTGTTGTTCCCCTCCCCCAGAAGAATAAGAATACAACCAACCAGGTTTTTACACAGGGCTCAATGTCCGCTAAAGCCGGTCAGAAGTTCCCTAGTAGAGTGGGTTGAAAAATGCCAGTGTAGTCTGGAAAGGCAGGTGGGACAAACTTTGCACCTCTATCTGGACTTGCTGCAGTACAACAGAAGCATTTAAAGTACTTCTACTGTATTTATAAGTAGATTGCTTGGGGTCATCGAAATATTTTAATGAAGCTTAAGAACAAGCAAGACACGTTTCCCTCCATATTATACCACTTAGCACGGGAGAAGGAATTCAGACACCTATGATCAAAGACAGCTAGTTTTTTCATGTCTTCCACTTTCAACAGCCACGTTTCACAGTCATAAAGTACGACAGAGCGAACTGTTGCAATATGCACAGGTCCTTCGGTCGATATCCGAATTTCACGTCAACTGCAGAGTTGACGTAGGTTGGCAAATGCCACACGAATCTTTTACATCTGTGCTGAGATTTCGTCGGCGACCAACCAAGCCTCCTTTGGGGCTGATGCATTTTCTATGCTGTTGATTTACACCTGACTGTGGAGACCTGGCTCATTGCCTTATATATCCACCTTTCACCTCTTGGGTCCAAGGTTCCTATCCCCTCCGCCTGAACAACTAAGTAATGTCATCAGCCTTATCACAATAATAAGTGTGTGGCTCATAGCCTGGAATATAAAAATACCTGTTCTGGGAACTTAGTTTAATTGAACAAAACAACTTGAATTGTGCTGCCAACCAGGATTTCGACTCTTCAGTGAGCTATTATGTATTGTAGTCCTTTTGTGCTGTTGTAACAGAGGCAGACAAAAGACTTGGTAACGGACTTTTTCTTATTAAGGAAAAACACACCAAATTTATTTATTCAATTTTAGTCACATTTATAGTCAGCTGAACGTAGACTGTTCTCATTTGTAGTTTGATTTTTTGAAGGCTCAAAATGTCCTGATTGGTTGTTAATTTTCGGAAAGTTGAGAACTGCCCTGATTGGTTGTTGATTTTCTGTAAGTTAAACCTTAAGATTATTATTCGACCACAACGTTAAACTACATCGAGATTCGAGAAGTAAACGCTTCTTCTTCTGTAGCCACTGACGTAAAATGTTGATTTCAATTTTGGCTACTTCCTATCAATCTGCTTCTATATGCCGTTGATAAATCTTGTCAATATCACCTGCTACACTATTGCTTTAAATTTAACAATGCCTTTAATGATATTGTTTGTTCTTTCCCTTGATGTTTTCCGATAAGTATGGAGACATTCCCCGAGGTGGCTTCCCTCACCTTACAAGCCCTGTCTGGTCTATTAGCTCAAAAACCGTGTCCATTATCCGCTGAACGTTTATGTCAACTGTTCGTTGTCAATATGTTCAATGTGGATCGTGCTGCCTCGATGACAAATCAAACAAGCTCATTGACAACTAGTAATTCTGCAAAGAATAAAATGACTACGACTCCTTCTACTACTACTACCCATAATAATGAAACGAAAGGTAATTCTAACCATCCAACTGGAATTGACAATTTCCTGCCATCTTCACGATTAACAGACATTGAAACACTACGCTCCGTTCATCATGATCATGCTGCACGATTTGCACTGGACACGTTTAGTTTAGTGTGCAGAAGAGCAGCTCAATTACTTCAAGAGGTACCATTATCGTTATTATTATTATTCTTTTTGATATTATATATATGTTGTGATTTTTAGGCATTATGAGTGTGTGTACCTGTGATGAACTCAGTTCCTGGAATAGTCCTTTTACGTCCCAGACCATGTGTCATAGTTGTTTTACAATAGGTTACAATACTACCCAGTTGTCTGAAGCCGGGAGTAGTTGGAACAGGATTTCAGCCTTGTTAACTACCGGCTGAAGGCCGATTGCTCAGTCTAGTGAGTTGTGTCGGTGGTTCAGCGGTAGAATGTTCGCCAACTGCACACGTGATCCGAGGTTCAAATCCCGGCCAACGCACCCTCAACCTTAATTAGCCAGTAGTACTGTGGTGAGAGCTGTCTGTCTGCAAACCAAAATTGTAGACAACAATTTACATCAATGTTCACACTTCCCGAATCAGGGTCATGAGAAAACAATAACAAAACTTAACCTTGAGAAAATCACCAACCAATCACAGCGGAGTTAAAGTGTGGAAATTCGATTCACAGATATTTGACTTGATTTTCTGAGAAACGGCCACAAAGAGATAACAGAATAACTGTCAGCAAGGAAACAACCACTGAGAAGAGGTTACTCTCTGCCAACAATGACGCTAATAATAATGTACATAAAAATCTATAAATACCTGTTGATTTTCTCGACAAACGACCTGTTGCCTGGCCCTTGTCTTCTGGCGTTACAGTAGTAAGCCTGGTAAAGAAGGGAAGAGGTTGAACGAGACGCGAACCCAGGAGGTTGGTTGTAGCTGTATGCTGAGTGTCTAAGTCGATGATCTGCATCTCACTCTACCGACAGTGGAGTTATGCAAGAGTTGTGGGGTCCACTTAAAAGTAAACACTCCCTTTGCATAAATTGGCAACCAAAAACTCTACAAACAATACCATAAAATAGTAGTTCAATTGATGACCAATAATTAGGCAGCTAGAATTCAGGTGGTTTCAAATTATTCGTTCATCGAAACTGAGTTAAACCGGATACACCACCGGCCGTCCGGTGATGGATAAGATCATTTCAATCTGCCTAGCAAGTGCTACTGGTTGATATGTTGTGTAGTTCAGGACCTGTGTCAATTTGTTGGTTTTCGCCTGTAGATCTTCTAGCTCTCGAAGTCCTAGGTCTCGTAGTGTCTTCTCGTCGGTTCAACGTGTAGCCGTCTCCTCGATCCCGGCGATTCGTTGCATGATCCAGTTCACCATCACAGCCAGGAATATCATTAGTAATAATAGTACTAGTAGTCATCTTTGTACAATTTTACACATATATTTTGCCTATTGTATTACTATTGTTATTTTTTTATTATACTTCTTCAAATAGACCCCTCCAGAAGATGCTGGTCCAGGCTGGCTTCAACCAGACGCCCGTATCCTACTCTCTGCACTTTGTCTATGGACTGAATGGATGATATTACATCCAGAGCATTGGTTACCTCCACCAAATCATCGTGATCCAACGCTTCGTCCGCATTTAGATGATTGGCAATTAGTAGCTAGACTGTGCAGTCAAGCAGCTGCCTGGCTTTCACGTTATTCGCCTACAAGACGACCAAAATATGAAGAGATTACACCGACAACATCGCTTGTTCTTCGACTAAAAGGTGAAATATGTAACGATGAAAAGTTAGAAGATGATATTCGAAAGTTGAGCACCTGTCAAACTCTACAAGATGGAAGTTTGTTCAAAGCTACATTTCTTGCTGAAGAAGTATTTGTTGCTGGGTTTAAGCCAATGTTAGATTTAACACCTAAGGTAAGCGTAAAGTTGTATACAAGATTTTGTAATTGAGTACTTGTTGTATATACTAGTGGGGATAACCAGCGCTTTTGGGGGGGGGAGTTAGGAAGAGTCAAATGGTTTAGAGTCAGTTCTGAGTGTAATTCACTCATATGAGCTTTGATCCTTTCGGGTTACTGCAACATGCATTACTCATGTGTATATGCACAGTGTCCATCTCGAGGTAATGTAATTGATATATAGAGGGAAACAAAATCTTCTTGAGATGTTTACTCTGCTTGGTTCTATCTCCCGTGTTAGGTGGTATAATAGGATGAACAATATTGAGGCTAGGCGTGTCGAGTGGTATGTAAGAAGGAGAATTCATTGGATTAGGTTATGAAGTTATATCGGTTGAGTGAGCTGGTTATGGGATGTGTTGCGCATGCGGAGTCATTAGTCATTGCCTTCTTCGACGAGAAATGTTACCTGACATTAGGTGGATCAGGTTGCAGATGAGTTAGTGGTGGTCAAACAAAACATGGCTTCATCAGTCAATGAATGTCTTAGTGAAGAACTTAATTATTATTATTATTATTATTAAACAGTTGCTGAGTGAGAATGGTTATCCAGAAAAATTCATTGATAGGAATTGGGAATCAAAACTCAAGGCAGCCCAAGGTATCAACAGTTCCTTGGGGATAACATCAGCGAGATACTAACACAACGCCTTAGAAATGCTGTAAAAAGCGCATTCAGTGCAGCTGAATTACACTGTGTCTTCAAAACCACTCCTCTTTTGCGTTTGGGAGTAAAAGATAAACTGACTAATTTCGCATCTTCCATGTGTATCTACCAATTTAATTGCTCCTGTTGATCCAGTTACATAACCCGTACAATTAGGCGTGTTTCTCGTCGGATTTCCGAACATCATCCTGCACAGTGGTTAAGTTAAGGAAAAACAAAATCTATTCGTGGCACTATTCTATCTCATCTTGTGGATACAGAACACAAGATTGATGTCAACGAGGCTTTCAAAGTCATTTACCACATACCAACAAATCTTAACTTCACCTTAAGAGTTCGACTACTACATATGGCTGAGGCCATTGGGATCCACATTAAGAAGCCTAATTTGTGCTTCCAAAAGAAGCTAGTTCAGACATTGTCCTAACCTTGTGCATCTAGGTTCGAATTATCCTCATTTTTTGTAGAAATATCCTAAATTTTATTTGACTTTCTATTTACTATTACATTTTTATACTTATTATAACTTAAGCGTGTTTCTCGAACTGTGGTGATTCCATTGTGATCTTTTTTTGATGTTGTTGTGTTCTCTGAGCTGGATAGTTAATCATCCACCTGAGCTACAAATCTTCTCTATCATTGTGATCTTACTTAACAGATCAATAGTATTTAAAAAACACCAATATTGTTATTGACTACTATTCTGGAATATTCTATATATATATATATATATATATATATATATATATATATATATACATATATATATATAAACTGTAGAGCCAGAAGAGGAAATACTCGAAAAGGACATTTTTTTGCTCAATTTTTGTTTTTTCTGAATCCATGACCGTTAGTTTAAGCCAGTTACGTCAGGAGGTGTAGACTACCAGTTGGCTGGTTGGGGTCCTCATAATGGTAAGAACTAATGAAGGCTGGAGACACTAGTTGATATGGCTCAAAATCCTTGTTTTCGATAGCGTAGGATGCATTCACTCTTTGTGATTTATCATACCCAATAAAACTCTACTAATCCTTACTCACACTTCTGTTTATTATCTCTTCTTTGAATCTCTCTTTAATCTCTTCTCTTTCCCTGTGTGCTACATGGAGGGAGTGTGGCAACTGGAACTGATGCACATTTGTGCAAAGTTCTATGTTGAAAGTGGTCAGTCAGTCACTTTGCTTGGTTGAAATTCTGCTTGGTCACGGAGACTGGTATGGAGACTGTAAGTCATTGGAGTTAGAATCCTTTGGACTGGCACAGAGTAACTCAATATGTTATTTTCATTTAAGTTGTACCATTACTCTTTATTTCATGCTTTCTTGTGTGAAATATGAAAGTCCTCACCAATGCTTATGTTGGCAATACCCGTCTGTCTATCTGTCTATCCGTCCGGTAACCATGATAGAATAACACAGTTTAATCGTGCCCACTTGGAAGCCGTGTTTTTTTGTGCTTTTCGTCACTTGTTATACACAGTCCTGCATTGAAGCAAGATCAAGGCAAGGTGGATTTTGAAGCTGAATCACTCAGGATGGCTAGGAGACATGTTTATGCATGCCAAGCCATCCACTTCCTCGTCAAACAATCTTAGTTGATATGGGATTAGGTTGGAAAAGTGTTTTGCGTGGTCAAATGAGAACCTGATATCAATCTGTGAAAACTTTGACCGTGAGCTTAAGCTACGTAAGGAGATATAGACTGTGTGACTAAGACCTGGCTCCTCGAGACACTTAACGCCAATAGCTTGAGACTCTGTTAGTGTTATGTTTTCAAAGTGTGGTTTTCAACAATTGAGAGATGTATATTAACGCTTTGTAATCTGTTGCCAGATCCATTCATGTAAAGCTGGCCTTTCTCACGTACACATTTCCGTGCACTTTTGTACAGGTTTCTACATTCAAAACTCAGTCAAAGTCTGTCAAATTGGTATCGTCACAATCTTCATGCTGTGTAGTAAAAATGTTATCTCTGGTAAATTACTCACCTAAAATTCGTGTTATAGTGTTCCCATACACTATCATTATTTCATACGATTTAATCATAATGTTATACGACTAGTACGAGCTCTCTGTAGAATTCAGGATGCGCGTCTCCTCTCATTTAGAAGTCATCAGATAGATGTATTTACTTGAAGAACTGATTGAATTCCAGCAGAGGATTTCGCACAGGAAGTGCAGTAGTTCAAGTTCTCACAATCCATATAGCACATGCTGGTAATAGGAAGACAGCAGAAATGTTATGACGGGGGGTGGGTGAGGTATGATATGGAAGAATAGTAACATGGAAACACCCTGAGGTAAAATTTATTTTGATAAAGTCTCACGGAGTGTTATACAGTAATATTTACTGATGACCACGTTTCGAGAACAATTTATTAGTGCTCATAATTACATCAGCAAAAACAGGACTCTAGGTGAACATAGACAAGACGGAGGCCATGAAAATAAACAACCAACAACAACAACAGCAGCAGTAGCATCCAGCGCCAATCACCATCAACGGGAGGGATTTGAAAGAGGTTACTTCATTCACTTATCTAGGGAGCATTCTCTCAACTACAGGAGAAACGGACGAGGATGTCAAATCGGGAATCGGGAAGGCGAGAAACACATTCATCAACCTGAAACCAATCTGGAAATCTTCGTCCCTCAACCCAGAATCAACAACAAAATTCGGATTTTCAATACAAACGTCAAGTCAGTCAGTTCTTCTATACGGATGGATCAGAAACTTGGCGGGTCACAAAGAATATTTCCAATAGGTTGCAGACCTTTGTCAACAAATGTCTTCGCTCCATACTGAAGATTAGATGGCCGGAAAGAATCACCAACAAGAAACTATTGGAACAAACAAAGCAAGAACCAATGGCTCAACAAATATGCAGGGGAAAGTGGAGATGGATTGGACACTTGCTGAGGAGGCCGTTGGGTTACATCGCGCGTCAGGCCAATGCTCGAGTGGAACCCGAAAGGGAAGCGGCGAGTGGGACGTCGAAGGGTGACATGGAAGAGATCGTGTGAAGAGGAGCTGAAACAGTATGGAATAACATGGATGCAGGTGAAAAGTACAGCAGAAGACAGAAGCAATTGGAGACGTGTAGTTGAAGCCCTATGTTCCACTAGGAACCCAAGGGAACAATAATAATAATAATATACATATTCATATCAAGTCACTACTCACACAGCTTTCTACCTTCGTTCATATAATTCCATTATTTTCCATCGTTTAACTTGATTGGTAGTAGTGGTATTTTCCATATTTCCGGTATGAGTGATGAGTCATTCCGATTGCACACACGCACGCCCTTCAGACCTGATTCCAGAATGTCGTCGATGGCAAGGTATTGAACGAGAACAATCGTTTGTGTTATCCAGTGTTTAGTAACGTTAAATATAATCTACTCTGACACCCAATAGTCGCGAACTCATCAACGAATTTCGGGAAGAACAATTGAGCTTAACAGTAGGTTTGGTCCCCTTGTAACAACAGAAGATAAGGGAAATGGTAACGAAATTTTTTCATTAAGGAAAAACACACACCATATTTATACATTTTCAACCACATTAAAAGTCTATTAGGTTAGCGGACAATAAATTGTTCTGATTGGTTGATTATTAGTCCAAGGTTAAACAAAAGGATGTAAAATTGTCCAATGGGATTGTTTCTAGACCACAACGTAAACTAAATCTACATTGGAGGAATTGAAACTTCTACCTCTACAGGTATTGACTTAAAATGTTAACTTCTGGTTTTTTCGACTGCCTCTTATCGATCTACATCTATGTAGCACACAATTCAGTTTCGCTACCTTGCTCTGACTAAACTTTGGCACCTGTTGGTTGTCTAAAGTTTAACTTTGCCACTGAATGTGTAAGCTTCTTTATTCTCTAGTTGGACTTTCAAATGTTCAGTTTACATTTTTGCGTATTTTCTATCTTCCATTCAGATGTATCATTACACTGGTGATTGGGAACCTGAAACTGTTGCTGACTTTGTTCGTATAGAAAAGTTGGTGTTATTCGGTGATTATTTATGCGGGATTGAAACACCTGTACTCATGTATAATATTGATCAAGGCATCTATGAGTCTATTGTACAACGTGAATCATCTGAACGAATTGAAGATAAACGTGGAGACAGTAAAATCACTGATCGATTGAATACTTCAGATGTTAGTTGTGAAAGTGATGATAAATCGCATGCTGATGCGGTAAGCACACGTTAATTTCAATCGTTCATGCTTTAATTCTTCTTTCTCGCGTGATTTTTTGTTGTTGTTGTTGTTGATTTGTAGTTTATTAGCATTTCTTTTTTTGTCTAGAGTAATGAATAGACACCAAAGTGAGACAGCCATGAACCAACCAGCATTACAGATGGTTGCTTTTCATAATCTTCGTTGCAGGATTCACCTATCTTAAACCTACCCTAACCTGAGCAGCGAATCAGATGAAACCTGCAGCGAAGATGATGAAAAGCATCCATTTTGTGATACCGAGCGATCTGATTGGTTAGTTCAAAGTCGCTTGACCTTGGTGTCCATTCTTTACTGTTGCCGTATTTGCATGCGATGCTTTCATTCTAGTTTAAGGATAGGGATTGAAATAGTCGAGCACATTGACCATTTTTCTTATTTGAGAAGTTGCATCAATCTTGACGGACTACTGATTGTTGATGAAATCGTGGCACTCGTGTGACGTTTACCAACTTTCGTCATCTCTGACGTAGACTTGTTATTTGGCTATCCACCAAAGGATGCGAGAACTATGCAGAGGTTTGGTCCGTCCTAATTTGCTGTTTTAATCGATATCTGTTGAAAGCTGGAAGTATCAAGAGTAGTCTAGCCGTCTTTAACTATAGGTGTTTCCGCCTTGTCTCTTATGTTAAGTGGTAATAATATGTTTAGTGATATTGTGAAGGTAGAAATAGAGTTGTAGGTGAGGATGGAAAATTAATCGATGAAGCTGCATGAATTGAGATGGTTAGAATGTGGTTTACGCGTACCGAGTCATCGCCTTTGTCTAAAAACAAAGTCAGTTACATTCAATTCATTATTGGTAATCTTATTACGCCACTTTATACGAAAGACTGAACGCATACACCACCTATGGTAACGAATTGATACTCTCATGCTCAGTTTTCAGTCGTATTTCACAGACGTTAGCGTCACAGAACTGAATACTACGCATTATACATGTTTCTTTGATAAATAACCGGATGTCACAGTGCCAGTTGACAAACGCCCTACACGTTTTTAGTTTCCGTGCTGAGATTTTAGCGGTCATTCGATTAGATCTGTGACAAAGCTTTCAAAATAGTGTGTACATGACGTAATCCTCCTAGGTGAAGACGCCGACAAAATACGGAGTCTTCTGAACACCTTGAACAGCAATCTTCAGATCTTTGGCATACGATTCGCTCCTTTCAAATGTACGATGTTGATACAGAACTGAACTGGACTACATCGACTCCTAAGATAGTTAGTGGAGTCGTAGAGCGTGTCGACCACTTCATTTATTTGAGAATTACCAGCTCCAGTGGGTTGATCGCTGACCAAAATCTCAACACGGATACAGAAAGCTCGTTTGGTATTTGCCAACTTACGCCATCTCTGGGTTAGTAGAAGTGATATTCGGTTGGCTATAGATGAAACAACATGTGTACTGCGGAGCAGTCCGCTCCGTCCTCCTTAATGGCTGTAAGCTAGACATGCCTATTGAAAGTTGAAGACACGAAAAGGCTGATTAGCTGTCTTTGATCGTAGATGTCTCTCATGTTAGGTGCTATGACGGGATGCGTAATATTGAGGCTAGGTGTCGAGTGTTAGGTAAGTAGGTGATTTTTACCAATGGGGTTGTGAAGCAGCTGCATCGATTGAGATGGTTAGGACTTATGCCTAGGCATCGCCTTCCTTTCACAGGAAATGTTAGCTTACATAGGATAGATCAGGTTGGAAAAGAACTAGTGATGGTCAAACCAAAACATGAAATCAGTGCATAAAATCTCTGACACTTAGTTTGAGTCACGTAGAGGTGTAGACTTGATGGTTGGGGTCCCCGAGATGGTAAGAATCAATGACTGCAGTTAATTGGTGATATGCCTCAAAATTGTCATTCTCAATGGCGTAGATGCATTCACTCTTCGTCGTTTGTCATATTCAATAAAACTCTATTGTTCTTCCATATTAGCGTTGTTTTTTCCTCACACGTCTGTTTATTATCTGTCTTTTTGAATCTCCCTTTACTCTCTTCTCCCACTCTTTGTACTACATGGAGGGAGTGTGGCAACCGGAACTGGTGCACATCTGTGCAAAGTTCTATGCTGAAACTAGTCGGTCAGTCTGAAATAATTGAAGTATTCGATACATTCAACTATTTCTCCCCGCCTCCCTAAACCGGGATTTGGCGCACACCAATCCTATAATAATATAAGGTTACATTTAACGCGAGTAAATCGTCTGCCATACATACTAAGAATTTTGCCGAAGGTTTTCAGCAGACTCTTTCATCAGCCTTTTCACCTCAAAGGATGCAGTCATCTTCGTGACTGACTGAGTTTCAACTTAGAATGATGCACAGAAGTTGGAGTTATCTGCATCTCTTATATAAATGAGACTTTTTTTCTAGTGACAAGTGAATCTTAGACACTGTGTATTCCATCCGTAAGTACATCTATATTGGAATTTAGTGAAAATGGTGACATTCGGTAACCCTGACAAATTCTGCTATCTGTCGTCACTTCAGATGACAATATTTTACAAGCCCTTACATAACTGCATAAGTTTTCGCAAAGTAAAAATGAATGACATGAGTAAGCGAATCCTCGAAGTCTACCATTCACACACTCTCTGGGTCGTCAAGTGAGAGACGGTTATTCTACTCATGGAGAATTCTAAAAGCTCACTTCATCTTCTGGTTAACGCTGAAGATATCGTCTAAAAGGATAATGAAATCATCTCAATTAGGGTACTTAGTTCAGAAAATGCAACTGCACCAAAAATTGAGCACCTTATCTGCAAATCTTCATGATTTATATAATATACTATCATTTACAGTAGAGTCAAGTCAAGAAATCTGGCAAATGATAAGTGGTGGAAGTGTACACATGTTCCTGGAGCAGTAGTAGAGTGGAAATGTCAATGTATTGTAATCCTAATCAGAAGTTTGACTGACTTTTTCCTTCTAGGAGAACCTAAAACAGAAGAAGCATTAGTGTTTCATGACTTCAGAGTCCGGGGGACAAGTGCTTGAGGCTGGGTTACACACGACCTGTCTGTAGTAGGAAAGATTCAACACCTGTCCAGTCGGACATCTTGAAAATTTTACTACCCCTACCACGACAAATAGGAAGGAATAAAGAAAACTATAAAACTCAAGTTTCGAAGTCGTGTGATTATAATTGATGAAATGATTATGAACAATAATAGATTGTGTTCGAAACTGTGTCATCCGGTAAATAATACTGTTTCACTCACTGTGTGATACATTTAATAATCAAACTAATATGAAAGTAGCAGCTGTCGGTCAGATGGAAGTACCTTTGGCTCCCATACACTGTCTAGTATCATTAAACCCATGTTTAAGAACATTTTGAGTCTTGGTATAAGTTCCTGTTGCTTTGCCTCGCTTTTAGATTACAGAGAGTCTTTTCTGCTCCCAGTAGAGTTTGGCCAGCTGTGTTAAAATTCTTTTCAGTTTCAGATTGTCGCTGAATCAAAACTGTGAATTAATTGACGTGTTCCTCGTATTGTTTCACTTAACGTTACATCCGTCTCTAATTAGGATTTATTTCGGTTCCATCCGTCTCATATATTATCTAACTTACCATACATCCTTTTTAGGATCGGTTGGCATCGCCTGTTGTCAACACCCTTTCAATTTCTTTCTCATACTTATACTTTTCAATCTGTTTGATTTTCTAACTAATTGCATCCCACTTTAATTTTTTTTTCCAGGTATCCAACAATGACATAAAGGACACCTCAGAAGAGGAGGCAGAGGCTGATATCGCCGCCCTGCAACGACAAAGAGCATTCCTTCAAAAGCAACTGGATGAAGAAGCACGTCTGGCAACATGGCGTCATAATGCTATCAGACAAGCAGCATCTGGTGGACAAAGAGCAGTGGAAATTGAAGTTCGACCAATCTACCTACTACCGGATACAAATTGTTACATTGATTGGTTAGAAGGTATTGCCACATTGGCACAGAAATCATCAAATTACACCGTCCTAGTTCCTATTGTTGGTAAGTGTTGATTATTTGTTATTATTAATATTATTACTTTTGTTTTGATTGGTTAATTTTATTTTATAAGGAAAATAGACAAGTGCCAGTGCGTGACTCTATATACGACTAACTGATATTCAGATGTTTATTTGGATACTATTATTATTATTATTATTATTATTATTGTTACCTATAATTCCTAGAGGGACATAGGGCTTCAGCCAAACTTCTTCATTGCGTTCGGTTCTCCACTAACGTTTTCACCTGGCTCCACGTCTGCCCACATGCTTTTATCTCCTCTTCACATGACCTCCTCCATATCACCCTCGCACTGACGACCAACTCGCTGATTCCCATTCGGGTTCCACTCTAGGGCCTGTCTTATGATGTCACTTGATGGTTTGATTTCTCAGAGTATGGCCAATCCAATCCACCTTCATTTCTTCCTGCCTATTTCTTGCACAGTTGGTCCCTGATCGCCTTATTCCTAGAGATCCCTGTTGCTGATATTTCTCGCCATCTAATCTTGAGCGAAGACAGCTGTTGATGAAGGTCTGTAGTTTGTTCAAGGTGCTCTTCATGTCGCGCCAAGTCTCTGACCCGTACAGTAAGTAGCACGGACTTCACATGTCAGCTGAAAATCCGGATCTTATTTTTCATGCTGAGTGCTGAGCGTTGACCCCCACACAATCTTGAGAGAAATGAAAGCTTGCCTTGCTTTCCCGATCCTTGCTTTGATATCCTCGTCACTTCCGCCTGTAGTTGAAACGATGCTTCCCAGGTAGGTAGGTAGGTAGGTGAAGGAGGCTGCTTCTTTCAAATTTCTCCCATTTATGTTGATTGTTGTCTGTTGTTGTTGTTGCTGCTGTTGGTGTTGTCCAGGAATCTTCATCACCTCTGTTTTCTCTATGTCCATCTGAAGGCCTACCTTTGATCCTTCTCCTTCTGTCAACTTGTTGGTTTTCACTTTCATATCTTCCAGTTTGTGTGAAATCAGACAAATATCATCGGTGAAGTCCGAAACTAGTAGTACTTACTAGCAAGCGGGATCGAGTCAGTTAGCCCCCCCCCACCTCCGAATTCAGCCTATCTACATGGGTGTCCACTAGTGCGTACACACGTGGAATATACATTCACAGTCTGCAGGTTACACAAACATGAGGCGAAATTTCTTAAAAGTTCATCTTTGCAGAACCGAAATTATTCAGATCACAATATGTGATCAGCTTTTGATTTAGTTGTGTTCCCTGAGGAGCTGGTTGATTTAATAACGAAGCTTTCGTTGTCCTCCTTCTAGACGCAACATCTTCAGCACAGGTTTTAGCATGAAGACGAAAGATCAAGGACAATTTGTGTGAGGTTCGACTGAAGCCTTATGTTTCATTCAGAACACAAGAAGTGAATCACAATACTAATATAATTTAATATTAAGGACCAACCATCCATGTGGCCCCGGGTTCGATTCCCGACCGGTTATAAGCCCAACAAAGACTGAAGGTTGGTCGTGAGGCTAGCGACTCCACTCCGTAAAATAAACACTACTGCTACTGAGACTTCGAAGCTCTAGCTTGAATTCCTATGCTCCACGAGGAACTCAAGGGATTAAAATATTAGGATTATACTTTAAGCATTTTTAATTTGCTGATGGTGACTAGCTGTGTAGAATCTAAGATGCAAACTTCGTCCCAGGTGGCAGTCATCATCTGTCATCATTAGCGTGGGACTGAGCACGCCGTTGCAACATTATCAATCATTGAGTAATGTAAATTAACCTAAGATACTCGTTGCACAAGAGGGGTAGCTTAACAGATAAAGCTTTGGTGTTTAACAGAATTTCCCACTGGGAATGCAGGTATATTCCGTGGACAAGTACCAAATAGGACTAGAATTACCATCCTGGATTCTGCTGCCATTCGCTATCAATTAAAACGGCGTTATGTTAATCCTCAGACTTTGTTGAAGCATCCGTACTCGGTAGGTACGAGCCGACATGTCAGCAGAGACTGAACATTTCGGTCCAGTAACATAATCGACCAAGGGAAAGTGCAGATTAATCTGTTAGTTTGTTTATTAGATATATCACCCAGTGAATATATCTAATAAACAAACTAATATGGAATTACTTACTACCACAGTGCCCAAGTTTTACACATATACAAATTAATCTGTTGTTGATTTAACAAGTATTCTATTTTCGAACAAAGCAAGAACTACAGTTTTTGCAGAATAAAGTGGTACCATCTTTTATTTCGTTGCATTCTTGTTAGCTGCTTACAGCATGGCTCAAAATCGTTGTCAATGGCTCACGCAGATGTATTCAGTCTCTGTAATCTCTCATATTCCTTTCTACCATTACTCATTCTGTTTCACTCTTATACTTGTCAAAACTCTATTGATTCTCTTCACTCATTTTCTTGTCTACCTTTGTGAGCTATTTGGAACGTGGCAACTCGAACTGCTGCACTTCGGTGCCAAGTTCTATGTTGAATCCAGCCAGGCAGCCAGCAGCTGCTTGCAGGCCAAAGACATTATTAAATATATCTGCAGAACAATTTTAACATACTTGCACAGAGTTCATTTTAAGCAAAAATCAATCGATCAATATAAGCATAGTAATATATATATATATATATATATATAATATTAAACACTATTCCGAACAATAATAATCATACACAATGGAAACTTTTTAGAATTACGCATTCAGATGGAAGAGGGATGAAAATATCCAGTTACCAGGGTAAAGAAAGACTGATAACCGCTTCTTTCTGGACGCATAAATCAGGTTTCAGGCGCTTGATGGAAATGGCTTCAGCAAACTTGAGGAGAATTGAGCTCTTTTGCTTATTGATAATTTTGAACGACTTTTCGATGTCCACCTCATGACCCGTGTCAAGGAGATGCCTGACAATGGCACTATTCAAAGCATTTTTTCCCTTTTTTCATGTTTGACTATGGATTGATATTAGTTAGAGGACTATTGAAAACCAGCACAGCTGCTTCGTTATAGTTAGGGGCTTATTGGGCAATACGCACCCATCGGGGTTCGAACAATGGACGAATCAATGGTTATCCCATGAATTCTAAATTCTACCTATCCGGGGTGCATTTAGCACGACTGGCACCAGCCAACATCTTTTCCAGTGAGTAGCTGTCCTCACTCCTGACCGGTTACACTGGACTCCAGCGCCAGTCACGACTTCGCACTAGTAAGCTCCAAGCAACTTCCTTTTTATCGGAAAACAATTTTCCGCCCGTTATTGATTTTTTTTCGTTCTCTTTCTTTTGTCTTCTTGATAATTCTAGTTGTCAATGAACTGGACACATTAAGTCGATATGGTAGTAGCAGTTCCGGTGGTGGAGGAGTAGACCGACCCTACGAAGTTGTCGGCGGTGAAGTGACACGTGCTGGTCTAATACAAGAACGTGCAAAACTTGCTATCGCCTATTTGGAGCATGAGTTTGAGCATAGGAATTCACGTTTACGTGCATTGACAGCACGTGGCAGTCTAATGGAGACAATTGCTTACAGAAATGAAATCAATGGGGGTAGAACACCTGGTCAAACAAATGATGATGTCATTTTAACGTGTTGTCAACATTTCTCCAAAGAGGATGCTGATCGTTTTCAAATGCGTAATCTTGCTCAATCTCTTCAAGGTGATCAAAATAGTAAGTTGTTCAATTTTTTGAGAAAACAGTTTTATACATTTTGTCTACATGTAAACAATGGAGCTGTAGCGCATTGTTCGGTTGGTTGGTTAGCAAGAAATCGAACCCCTTCGTTCACAGGCTGAAACCCTGCTCCATCTATCGAAGTTCGGGCAACTGATATGATGATCTCGTCGACAGTTGATACATGACCGACTAGACCAGATACGGTTATTCGTCCCCTAGTACATTCAGCTTCACTGAGCCATGTAAATATTGAAAGACGAAGACTGTCCTGTGACTGTTAGGATATGGACTTTTCCTTGAGGAGAAACACATTCAAATTCGTTTAGGTCAGCGAAAAACGAAGCATCTTGATTGGCTGACGGTTGGTCATAGGTTAGACAATGAGACTAAACATTGTCCGACGAGGTTATAATATATCATAAATTAGATCCAGATTTGATCCAGGTCTAAATAAACTCTTCTAACTCTGCAGGTATTGACTTATAACGTTGATTCCAACTTAAGTCGCTTCCTATCAACAGCCAGGTAGTATTAGAATAGTATTCACAGCAGGGGGAAAACGAGATGATGAGTGGGACGTCGTATATAAGGGAGAATGATGATCCGGAGGGTTTCGTGTGCTTTTGGAACTGTGTGGACGTTGTGATTTTTTCTTGGGGTACCTGAAAGAGAAAAAGAATTAGTGGTGCGTGACCGCAGATCCCACGAGACAACTGCCTTATTCCAGTCACCCACAGCCTTTTTTTGGTTTGGTTCTGTGTTGGTAACTTACCACCAGTTACGGACCACCGTAGGATAAAGTTGAAATGTGCGATTTTCGGGGTCGACCTTTTCTAACGCCCTCTCTCCAGAGCAGAAAGACAGCATAGATGGCGTGTCGGTCATCTGATACTAACACCTCACTGTTGTCAAATCCCTGTTCCCCAGGACTACGACTTCGTCCACAGACCCCCAGCATAGTGTAAAGAAAAAAGTCTTACACTACGCCGGTAACTGATTTTAGTCTAAACGCTATCCCAACCCATTTTCCTGGCGTGGTAGGACCTGCAGGAACATTAGTTCCAGCCAGTGTAGCTTGTCGGGTCATTGCGATATTCAAGCCCGGCGTCTACCACGTCAAGGTCATGGCTATCGGTCAGGAGGTATCATTAAGTGGTTGTTCAGCAGCGGACGACTTATCAAATGATGTTGAACAGGAAATCTTGAAAATTCTGTCAGACGTAAGCTTTGGTAAATGAGCACTAAATTACTAATAGTGATTCCTGAACGATATCACCTAATCTTTACCTAACCCCCTAGCCAAACTCTAAATCATTCCTTAACTTAATTTTAACTGAGAAACAACCAGGTTAGGCCTGCATATTATCTCGTGAATAGTGATGCAGTAAAGATAAGAACTACCTGATTGATTTTTCAATGTCATTCATCTGGATCGGTATCCCTTACAGCTTTGAAATTTTAAAGTCTTGGTTTAGCAGGGATTTGATTGATTTTAAAGTCTAATCACAAACTGGCTTTATCTTAGTTATGGGGCTCTTCATCACTACGTACCCATGGTCCCACCGGGGATCCAACCTTGGACCTTCAGGTTACAAGGCGTGCTGGTTTACCATTCAGCCATAGGGGCAGACTGCAACAGACCATCAATTCGAATTCCTGTCAATTCATAATGCGTAGCAGCGCCAATAGCCAGCCAATTTCATCGCTTAGCATTCGTCGTCACATCCTCCAACCTGGTTTTCCACCCTTTTTACGACTTCTCACTAAAACTGCGGGCACTTTCATACTGTCGGCATTGGATTCATTTTCATGTGAATTGGTTTACAGGGAGTTTGACTGATTTCCAGTTTTAAATTTTTTCTTATCACTTTACTTTCAGATCAACCAATGCGATTGGTTCGTGAAGTTGTCCTCCTTACATCCGATCGTAATCTTCGTTTGAAAGCGTTAAATGTGAATATACCAGCAAGACCATTGAGAACATTTGTCAATTGGTCACGTTTACCATTGATGACAATCAATTCGACTAATTTATTGTCGTCATCAGATTCCGCGAATTCATCAGACAGGCATAGTAGCAATAATGCCGGTAATAATAAAACATTAACAGACTTTCCAAAACTTCAACCACGTGGACAATGGAAACAACCGTTGAAGTATTGACCAGTTATGATGATTATTATTACCTTTATTCATCTTCATTTTGTTATTTAAGTCATTAAACAAAAATTCCTCTTTTAACTTCCGTTTATCAAATACAACACGTATATACATTATTTATACGCTCCTCGTTCATATAAAACTGTACAAAATACCAATATCACTAACAAATTGCATTTCATAACATTCATATATACATATATTTTTACTTCTATTTGGTTTGCCATCAATAGCGCTCTCTTCCTTCCTCTCTCCACCTAACATAAATTAGTAATTCCCCAGTATTCTACTGTTCCATGTTGATATGAAGGGAAGGTACGCTTACATGGTAGCACGGTGCGTTGCGCGTTCCGGTGTGCGAGGAGTAGAAGAAAGCACCTGGGTTGTTAAAGAATAAATAAAGGTGGACATTTCAAGCTCCCTCCTCCTCTTCGACGGCAATTAAAAGAGATTTTAATAAATAAGCAGTTAGAAAATTCCCCATGTAATCTTTTATAGAAAGGTTGTAGTTTATGCGCTCATCACACTGAACATTATATCTATTATATGTATACCTTGTAGTATTATTTTGTAAAATTGTCATTTCCTCCCCACGTCCCCGCTCCCCGACAGCGTCGTTTTGTTTCCTCTTGCAGTGTAATTAATATTTGTCATTAGTTCTTCTGTCTTCGTGTGTGTGCGCGTGTGTGAATGAGGGTTATTCACCAAATAGTTTTCCTCATCATCATCATTCTTTTTGTATAGTTTGCTCAGATTAGTCATATAACCACAACCAGTACTACCATTATCATCATTATTATTACTACTACTAATTATAACGACAGTAATATATACGCATACCACTTACTTGTATGCATTATTATCCTTTAATCTTTCATATTTTGAATTGTTTCTTGGTATAAAAGCCAGAAGAAGTATAGGGCATTATTTATTATTCTTTATTTGTAATGATAGTTATGCGTTGATGGTATATTATTATTATTATTATTATTATTATTATTATTATTATTATTGCCCATAATGTGTAACTTTACTAACCGTGATACATATATACATAAGTAGTTAAATAAAATTCTATTTGATCAATGGATATTCTCTTTTTCCTTTTTTCTTGTAGATAGCGTCTGAATGGTTGTGGTGTGTGTGTATGTGTTTGATGATATTGTGTCCTGTTGACTTCTTTTCTTTTCTTTATTAACAAATTCTTGTGGAACTTGGCAAGGTGGAGAGATGTATGTGGTCTTAGTGTGGAACATTGTAAGTCACCAGTACAGTATATCTCTGCCTGAGACTCTGTTCTCTCTGTATTTTTCCTCGTTTTTAACTGCCTCTGTGATTGCCCTCCTCTCGTCTCGTTTGAGTTCTCATCCCCTCCTCACACGCGATGTCCTCCATTATCATTCTTTGACCCAGGGCCAACTTGGGTTCCAGTGGAGGGCAAGCCTGGTGGTGTGTGTGGTACTACTTGAAGGTCTCCTCAGCTCAGCCTCCAAAGCCTCAGGATGGTCGGGGGTGGGTGCCTTGCGCTGCGGGTTGGCCACCCCTCCGCACACCTCTTGAAATGCTCCCATATGACCGGGCGTCTTACATAGCCTCTCCTGAGGAAGTCCTACTCACTGCCTTCACGTGGCGGAGGTGTTTTTCAACAAAGTGAGAGGGCGAAAGCAGATGCCCGGCGCTCTTCACCGGGTTGACTGTCCATTGGATGACAGTCTAGGGGAGATGGCTAAACCCTGATTCCAAACCTCCAACGACTGGCTATGAAGCTCACTGGAGCTCACCGGCAAACGTATGGACAAAGGGCTTGTTGGATGTCCTGGATGTCTGGCCCCATTCAAAAAGGCATATGAACCGAACTCCGGTCACCGGCTGCCAATGGATAGTGGACTCCCTACTCCACTCCTACTGCCTTGTAGGTCACACTTGGTTGTGTAAATGCTAGAGCTACACTCTCAAACAAAAGGCCGAGCGATTCTGGGGTCATCACTCGTACCAAATTCCCATGAAACCTCATGAACTCTCTTCATCAGATCGCCGCGCCTGGGCAGCGATGATTCGAGATGTTCATGAAGCCGGCTCATCCTTCCGTAGGAGATAGCCGAACTAAAGTAAAGGTAAGTAAGTAACTTGGGTTCCAGTGGAGGGCAAGCCTGGTGGTGTGTGTAGTGTGTCACTTGAAGGTCTCCTCAGTGCACATGTCCAATCCACTTCCATATTTGTTGTGCGGTAAATGGATTCTTGGTTGTTTCGTCAGTCAACGGAGTTGCTTGCTGCTAACCTCTCTGGTCATTTTGATCTTCAGCATTCAGCCTAATAGAAATGCCTTTAGTGGTGGTGACACGTCAAGTCTCTGAACTATCTAGAAGTAGTGACTTGATATTGGTGTTAAAAATGTGAATTTATTTTTTTATTGCTGAGATGATTGCAGCAGAGTTCTATGGTAATTTCAGATTCATAAATTTTTGTTTGGCTCTCCCGATTCTGACTTGTTCTCTCACAGTCCCATCTGTGTTGCCTGTAGTTGAAATGATGCTGTCCAGAATTAGCTAAAAGAAGTGACCCTATTCAAATTTCTTCTGTTGACAGGGATTCGTATTTCTTGTTGTTGTTCTTGTTGGTAGTGGTGATGTTGGTTAGGTGGTGGTATTACCCCACTGTGGATAAAATTTTTATTTGATAAAATCATACACACACAACATGCATTAAGGTGGCATTCAAACCTACAAACTGACTCAAGTAGGACAAGCTTTGTAGGCTAAACGACCCTATCGGTGGACCCAATTAAACTAATTAATATAATTTACAAAATACCTTCCAATGACTGTGAGTTAGGTGAACTACATAGATCGAACTAGTAGATTAGGAGTGATCAGATTACCTGTCAGAACATAAGAATTTAGCTAAGGTTCGAATGATTGATCACAGGAAGATAAGTAATTTAGAAAAAAGCTCAGCAATTGCATTGCATGCATTAACACAAAACCGCACAATAGGTTGGTGGTAGAGGGTTAAAATTCTAAGAAGTAATATAGGTAGGTGGAGAGGAGAGAGAGATTGATTACTGAATCCTGGTTCATCGAGTCTATACACAACACATGCAATAGAAGTAACTCAAAGTAAATACCACAGATACAGAAGATATTGTTACCGCCGATCATAGCAGAAGAGGATAATAAATAATCTTTAAATTCTATTTCAATTCACATTATAACATTCTATCAAGTGACTTATTTATTTTACTATAAAAACACTCGTCGTATTTCCCATCTTACTGTATTTTATTGATAACACTCATATTATTATATCCGAATGTACTTTATCTTATATTGATTTTATTCAAATGTCTAGTCAGTTTTACTCATGTGTATAAACGGAGCAGGGTAGTTGTGTAAGTACCTTGATATGATTACGAGCAGTAGTAATAAATCGTGCTCGTAAGGTAAAGTAAATATTACTGTATAGCACACTGTGTGATTCTATCAAAATACAATTTTATCCAAAATGGAGTTATACTCTACCGCAGTGCCCACGTTTTATCCATATGTCAATAATACATATAATGGTTTGATATCTTCATCACCTCTATCTCCTCTGTGTTCACCTGAGGTTCTGTTTTCGCTACTGGCCTCTTCTGCTGGTTTGTTCATTTTCGCCTGTAGATTTTTGAGTTTGTGTGTAACATTAAACATAAGTCATCGGTAAAGTTCGAATTTTCCAGAGTCCTCTTGTCGATCAAACGTGTGCTTGTCTTTTCACTCTCTATAGTCTACGGCATGATCCAGTTTACTACAGTCAGGAATATCATTGATGAATGTAGACAGCTTTTTATCTTATCCCTTTCATCATTTCCACAAAGACTTCGTTGACTTCTGCATTGTAGATTACTAGACATGTGGCGTTGTTGTATAGAGCTGTTGAATGCGATTGATGACAAAGATTCGTAGAGCACTCCTTAGAGTGTTGGAGCAGTTTCCTAAATTACTTCGTAGTCAACTCTTTCGAAGGCTATTTCAAAATCAATTGTTACTAGATGTGTTTATTATTGGTTAGTACTTTGATGGGCAGCAATGTTGTTTTTTCTTGTTGGAGTATTATTCTTGTGCTGCAACTTACACTGCATGGCTGTTAATTGGTGTTTGACACTTTACCGTTTGATGCCATTAGGTGTCTGACAAATAAGCGACTCTTTTGTATATAACTGATGGCTAGATCCACCACATAGAGCTGTGCACATAACATCAGTTCAAGCTCATATAGAAGTGGGAAACCAATATAATGACATCAAATTGGACAAACACATGAGGACTTTGAAACAAGAAAAGATTATTTCTCGTTCTCGAAGTTCTGATGAGCATATTTATTTATGAATCTTAAAGACTAAACGGCCTGTATAACTCTGAGAGTGATGTTCAGTTGTCTAGCTTGAAGGGTCTACCACTCATTGATTCGTAACATATCCTGTGAACCCCAACGAAGAAAGCTATACTCTTCCATTAATCGATAAACTTAGCAGTTAATAACACCACAAAGTGATGCTTTTGATTTAACTACCCTTAACTTATTTAATTCAATTTTAGATTTTCCTGTCGATTGATTGGACTGAAGTGCTTGATCTCAGGTCGACATGTTGGCTTCTTGTACAGATGCTTCGATGATGTCCAGGCATGTAATTAGACCGAGCACTTCGGTCCATTCAATCGACGGGAAAATGTAAAATTCAATTAAATAATTAATATGACCCGTTGCACAAGAGGTGGCTATCGTGGTCCAAATGGTCTAGTGGATAACGCTTTGGCGTTTGGAACTATGGGCACTGGGTCCGAGCCTCGGTGGGAACATCATCACTCACTGCGGAAATGCAGGTACATCCACTGGTTGATGAGTCCCATATAGGACGAAATGCACATCCTGTATTCCACTGCTAGTCACCATCCACCAATAATACCCTTAACTTATTTCAAATTTAATTTTACGCCAGGTAACATCTTTTCAGAAGGTGATGGATGACTTGACATTCATAACGTATTCTCTAGCCATCTTAGTCAATGACTCTCCACAAACTCGTCCATTGGCTGTTTTGAGTCTTACACTCTATATCTACTCTTAATATTATGTACTGTGTTGTTATCGATAACTTCGCCCAGCAGTCTGCAAGTCGATTCAAAGCCTGTAAAGTGAGGGATGGTTGTTGAGTGTGAAACTAACGATCCTACCCTGAAAAAGCCATCAAATCACTGCAGAGAAACTTCATAGCACTGGAATTGGGGAGACAAAACAACACAGTGAAAGCCAGCACTCAGCCGATGATGTGAAAGCCAAAAAAAGAGGCAAGTATGGAAACGTGGAATATTCAGAGGATGTTTTAAGCCGGGATATAGAAATGATAAGAATCTGTGGTAAGAGAAGATGTTGAGTGACATCATCCATTGTTCTCTCGAGTGGAATCCGAATGGGGAATGACGAGTTGAGCACGGATTCGAGGGTGATATGTTTGGGATCATGTCAGTAGGAGATGAAAGTTTTTAGGCGGTTTTGTGTAGTGAACAGGACGAAATGGAGATGTGCTGTTATGAAGCCTTTTTGTTCCATTCGGAACAGTCATACTATAACAGGGTGTAACATATACCACCAGTTAATTACTTGAAACGTCAATAAATGAAGTAGGCAGGTTGGGTTTTCAAATATCTTAAAGCAATGAACTAAAGCACCTTTTGATACTTTGATTAGACACTAATAACTAACTAGCGTGATGTGTCTTGCCCTTTTCTTTATTAGTACAGACTGAATTCTGTCAGTCAGGTTTGCAATGTGGCCCCACTAGTTAGCTCGCCATTGATTTAATGATTTGATCAGTTGGTTGGAGGCATTCGGCCACAGGAAGCCCGCCTTGACCAATCAATCAATCGACGAAACGGTGAAATTACTTCGACTGAGATGGTTAGGACATGTGCTACGTATGCCTAGTCATCGCCTTCCTCGACGGGCAATGTTAGCTGATATAGGGCCAGGCTGG